TTCTCAGAGTAGGTGAAGAGTTCATCAAGAGTTTGTGAACTTTACTTCTTTTTCAAGCTAAACTCTGGCAGGGAATGGGTAAGAAAGGCCATGGATTTTTCAGATGGTTCTTTGTTTCTGATCATTTATAGCTGCCCTAAGCAAATCAAGCTATCAGGCCTGACTGGAAATTGCTAACTGCAAGATTATTCAACCCTTAACTACTCAGGACTTTCGAAAACAATGTTCCCCAGAGTCCAAACTCCACACTGAATGCATTTTCCCCTTTGTCCTGTGGCACCGGCTGTGCCTCCCTCTCCTGGGCTTTCCTTCTTCCTCAATTTTCAGGCAAGTTTTTAACAGAATACATTTAAGTATCCAAACCAAAGAGATCAGTTTAAAAAAAACGATTAGCCACTAAGTGAAATCAGGTTCTTGTTATTACCTCATAGAATTATAATATTTCTAGTTTGGAAAATCATCTGGCTGGGCATGTCTCAAATTGTAATGTGCATGTCAATCACTCGAGGATGTTCTTGAAATGCAGATTTTGATTCTGTAGCTCAGATGTAGAGCTTGAGACTCCAGGGGGTACCACTCCTGGTTCACAGAAGATCGCCCTCAAGGTAGTAAGAATTTTGTAGAGTAATACGCTCCACATTTCTTCGATCACATATCACTATTAGTTTTAAAAAATGTGAACATGCACTCAAAACACGTATTTTTTTTACATTCATGTTAGGAAAGCATAATTTCATTTTTATTTTAAAAATTAATGTAAGCTCTAATATTTTATTCCAGCACAGCACTGATTCACCTCATGCACAGCCTATTTTGAGGGCCACTGATGCTGCTAACACTGCTGACGGTAACATTCAGTGCATGCTTGTATTTCTCCAGGCATAAGGAAATCGCTTTGATCAGGGAGCCTATTTTATCTTTGCATAACAAAATGTTAGAAAGTTCCTTCTATTGGTTTGTATCTGTGCTTTGTATCCAAAGGTTTGTCATGCAAAACAAACCTAATCCCTCTTAACACTCTCGTAACTCCTATCACTGAAAAGGCCCTAATTTCCTTAAAATATAAAGACCTTCTATCGCAGAATATTATCAGCAATCTAACAGAAAAAAATTGGCCAAGGATATAAATAGTATGGTGAACAAGTGTTTAAAAATGAGAAGATAATCAACCTCATTCAGATAAGAGAAATGCAAATTAAAACTATGGTGAGACATAATTTTTCACTTGTCAAAATGGCAAAGATAAAGAAAAGCTGAGTAAATAGAGTGTGTTGGTGATGCTGAGGGAAAACAGAAACCCTCACATACATCGCTGTGGTACTGTTAGGCAGGAAAACAGCTATGAGCGGGGTGGAGACGGAATCAAGGCCATAAAGCCCACTACAAGGGACTCAAAGAGTTAACCAGCTAAAACTAGAAACCCAGAAAAGACTGAGATAATCAGTTAATCAGTTAAAGCTCAAAAGGCCAGGAGCAACTTGGCCTGGAAATGTTTGAATATTCCCCAGATAAGTATCTGAGCACAGCCCATGTCTTCATTGTGTCAATTAGATAATGCCATTTTATGATTTACTTGGCCTGCTAAAAGGCCCAGCTATAAACTGCATAATAAAGACAGGAAAAACTCCATATTAAAGCTAAAGTTGCATTTTAAAACACAAGAAGTTAGGAAGATTCTTAGCTTACTCTTTAGCAAACAGATGATACTCAGCCCACCTTGGGGGCCCAGGCCAGCGGTCTTGTTTGATATGCTCCCAGACCAAGAAGCTGCTATCTCAGGGAGAAATCAGAGCAGTAAATTTCTTGTGTTAATTTTAAATATTCAGGGACCACTTAACAAATATGCACCCCTAGCCCTTTATCACATTCCTGAAAAATCCTTTAAAGGGGGAACCCTCAACCTTTCAGGGCACTTGTCTCTCTGAGGTCACCCATACTTTGTAAGTGCATAACCTTGACTTTTTCTCAATCTTTCAGCACACCTCTCTCTGAGGTGTTGCCCACACTTTCTAAGTGCATAGCCTTAAGCTTTGTCTCTCTGACTTTTCAGGGCGCCTCTCCTCCCTGAGGTCACCTGCACTTTTTCTCTCTTTAAGTAACTTTAAATAAAACTTTTCCTCTACTTCGCTACTGTGTCTCTGCCCTTCAATTCTTTGTCGCGGTGGAACTGAGGAAAATACACTATGCCCCCCTAACAGTACAACCTTCACAGCAGGTGCTTGGTGAAGCCATTAAAGATTAGTTTTTTGAGAAATACTGGGAAAATGCTAACAGTATAATGTTGGGTTAAAAAAAGGATGCAGAACATGTAACATGATACCAGGAAAAAAGTACTAGAAGAAAATACATCAAAACAATAACAACACCTATTTCTGGATGACAAGACAACATAACAGGTGATTCTAACTTTGTTTTTACACTAATTAGCATTTTCAAAATTTCTAACAAGCCTGTAGAAAATGTTCCAGGGAGGAGGTGATGAGAACATACAAGTAGGCCTTGTTTTAAACTGCAGATTTTTAACATTCACCTTAAGAGACAGCTGGCTCACCTACACTCCTGGGGAAAACTGATAACTGTCTATACTAGTTACTTGTGGTAGTTATGTTTTATAAAGTTGCCATGGTCACTGAACTAGAAACACTGAACCACTGCTCTGGGGAAATACAGAGTTGTGTCCCTGAGCCTCTGACTACAATAGCTGCATCAATCAATCAACACACAGTCTCACACTTTAGAACACTAGATGATGGCACTTTAGCACTACATTTGGGGGCCATTTTAAACAGTGAAATCACCCACAAAAAGCACAACAGTGTGACAAATGTGGCACTGAACAGACCTCAAGACCTCAAGGACACTCGATGACGGTACGAGAGCTGGAACAGAAAGGCAGAGTGTAGCCCTGTTCCTCCTCAGCTGCAAAAGTGCACATTGGGCTGCTCCAAGCATGCCCACAAATGATGGCTCCAGCCCACAAGTAAGGATTTGGGGTTTGCAAATACATTTTAGGAGGTGAATTCACGAACACAGCATCCACAAATTATGAGGATTAGCTGTAAGTATAACTACAGTTTTAAGGAAATTCTTACTCAAAAGTAAAGAGCCACTGGTGAGATCCCTCATCTTTTCATCAGTGAAAAGATGGCTGTCTTTGAACAAGGAAGTAAGCTCTCACCAGACACCAAATTTGGCACCTTGGATTCCCCAGCCTCCAGAATTGTGAGAAATAAATTCCTCTTGTTTATAAAGCAAAAAAAAAAAAAGTAAAGAGCCAATGAACTCTTCACAGAGTAAAGTGGAGTACCTTACAATTTATAAATTGTAATTTATAAAGGAAATTGAATTTCCTTTCCATGATGGAAAGGAAAGCAATGTGTTTCATCATTCATTTTATGTAAAATATTCATAGCCTTCAGCAAAAATTCTTTTTATTACCCAATTAACTTCAGCTGGTCTCTGTCTAGGTGGTTCTCTCCACCTGTAGAACATGGAGATGTATGGGATTATCTCAGCTGAAGCAATTTACAGCCCTCTTGGCCTTAGAAGGAGAGGTTGCAGCAATGCCTAACTTTACAGCCACAATATGATAGCAGCCATCATAAAGGTCTAATGTGCATGAGACTGGTAAAAAGATAATGCTATGGGGACCAAATGAAGGAGAAGTGCATCCTCTTGGAATTGTCTGGAAAACGTGATGGAGATAGAGTTATCCGAAAAGACCTTGAAGGATTAGTAAAATGGTCACCAGAGCGTGGGATGATGGAGTGGCAACCAGAGGCAGAAGGGCACAGTGGGAAGACATGCTCTGGGAACCGGTCAGAACCCAGCACGGGTATAAGGTAAGTTACAGGAATGGCGTCCGTTACTATTGTAAAGCAAGGCACAATACCCCCGAAGTGTTAACAGGGAACAGAACTAGAAGGCAAATGGTAAGTGAAGAAGGGAGACCAGCCCAACTACCTTGATTCTTCATGCTGTTTCCAGCAGCTTCTTGGTTTCGTCAACCTTTACACTGCTGCGGTTAACTCTTAACCAGTTCCTTTCACCTCCCTAACTAGACTGCATACCGAAGGCAAGCAGGGACCACACTGCATTCTTCCTTAGCCTCCCCCCCTCTGCCTTCCACCCACACTCCCCAACACACAAACACACACACCCATCATATAAAAGATCGCCCAAGGCCAACACCTGCATGTCACCAGTCTTCAGTAAATATTTACTCAGTCAATAATTGGCTTGAGAAACAAACTAAGCCCTAGTCTGTTACCTAAGAATAGAGCTTTTTGTACAGAGCAGATGGCTAAACTTTGTTAGTAACTGTCCCTACATTTTTCCAGAATGTATATATGTGTAGAGAATGGGAATCTTGAAAAGTGCCATAATATTGTATTACACATTTTATTTCCTTACATAAAACTGAAAATATGCATTTAGCAGAATCTATAAATTTTATAGTTAAATTTGTAAATATATATGTATGCTTCTGAAATCCTAATTTTTAGGCTATGTTCTATTTCAGCCTCTTGATTCTATAATTCCTTAGAACTGAGTTTAATTACTAACAGTGTTCTTGGATTGTCTTTGGGGCATAAAATATTTTATTACATAAGGTTAAACATTTCTGAATATTCTTGAAACAAGTATATAAAATTATTTAATCACATCTTAAATTGTTTCTTCTATTGCCAATAAATTATTTTAATTATGTATTTTAAGAAGCCCATTCATACTCTTTATTAACTACTCGAAAAGGAATGTCTTCAGAGGCACAAATTCAAAGAATATTAAAGAGTAAATACTTAAATGTGAATATACTTCTTGTAAAATAGAGAATACAATTTTATAGTAGCCAGTTTAGAGCCCGGAACTCATAATTTAATTTCTGCCTATTATTCATTGCTTCCAACTTCAAATTTTCTATTAGAAGTGATTACTGAATTTAAGAACAGAGGGAAATTTAAAAATACATACCTTTGCAGTTAAATTATTTTACTTACCGTTTCAAAACCTCGATGTGGGTGATCTGGAAATCCACCTGGCCTACCGCCCTTAAATTCATCAAACAGTAAAAACGGATCCAGATTTTTTAACTGAAATAAAGATAAAATTCAGCAGATTAGACATGCCTTTTAAGCCACTCTACTAGGGGCTACAGTTAGGAACACATCTAGCAAAATTCATCAAACACTACATAGCCAATGAGCAACTCTTTGCAATGAAAACTGCTTTCATGGAAGAGCTCCTTACACAGACACACAGATACATAGACACACACACACAGATTCACTAAGTTACCCAGTTGACATTTTACGACAAGTGCAACGAGTGGACAAACATTTGATGATCTTCTAAGATCTAAATAGTCAAGCACAAACAAGGTAACAGCCTGAACAGATTCAAAATCTCATGGGAGGACAGATTAGAAAGCCAGTGTCTGCCCTGTGATGATAAGTGCTCCGGAGGAAGGCAACACTTAAGAGAGGGGAGTGGGATCAGGGGAAGTTCTATCAGGGAGGTGTCACTTGAGCTGGGTCGTGAAGTACACGTAGGAGTTAATTAAGTAGAAGAGGGAGAAGGAAGACTATCTCAAGCAAAAGAGCAGAGAACAGCTTGGCAAGCTTGAAGAACGGCAAGGAGCCGACTGGGGCAAAAGACGCCCACATAGTTATGATACTGAAGGGCTGAGGATAGAGGGCCACATCCTACAGGAGTTTGGGTTTTCTCCTGAAGGTGATGGATTCTGAGCAGAGGTTGAGATGATCATATTTAGACAGATCACTCTCGCATACATATATGTGGAAGATGGTTTGGAAAAGGGAGAGACAGGAAGTAAAGAGGATTTAGAAGGTGATTTTGATAGTCTGGGCAAGGACAAGGGCCAGGTCTAAGGCAATGGCAGTCATGATGGAGAATGGGGAAAAGGAGGAGCACTTGATGACTCCCAAATTTCTAGCCGTGGTGCCTGGGATGACCACAGAGCCATCCAGAAGCACAGGGAATGTCACAGAAGAGGCACCCTTGAAACAGCCATCATGACTTCATTTTAAGTCACACCGACTTTGAGATAGCTATATAAATGTCATCTGTATAAACAGAACTATGAATAGTCACAGTCCAGTATATTGTGCAAAAACTAAAAGGCAACTGAAAATAAATCTTGAGCAAGCTCAAATGAGAGGTAGAAATGGATCTGACCATCATCAGCATACCTTTATGGTTGTTGTTTTAGTTATTCTTGGCCATTTGTTATCTTTTATAAATCTCAGAAAACTTAAAATTTTCTACAAATAAAAATGCTGAACTTCTGATTGGAACTGCTTCAACTCTATGGATCAATTTGGGGAAGAATTGACATTTATATAACACTAAATTTTCTTACACAGTTATCTTCATTTATTTAGGTCTTTTAAAAATGTCTTTCAATAGGATTTATAGTTTTCTCCATAAAGATTTTGTATATATTGTGTAAAGTTTTCTAGCTAACATACTTTTAATAGTATTGTAAATAGTATGTTTACATTATGTTTTTGAACAGTTTGCTACTGGGAATTGGAAAAATGAATAGAAAGGCAATGCTGAACATTTCCATGTGCATCAATTTTAGTAATCCATCTGTAGCTTCTTTTGGGTTGTCTTTGCAGACATTCATATCACCAGTGCATTTATGAATAAGCTTTTGCCCAATATTTCACAAACAAATTATGCTTTGCTTGCATTAGATTAAAGCTGTGGCAGGCTGTAGTTTCTAGGTTTTGCTGGGTTTGGGAAGCCTCTACATGTCTTCTCATTCTGGGTCCCGGGCTGAAACAGTGGCCACCATCTAGGACAAGCTGTTCTCACAACCAAGGGCAGGAGCAAAGGTGAGCTGAGCCAGACATGCACAATCACATTAACACACCCACTGCTCAAAGCACGTAACACGCCAAACCCAAAGGTAAGGAGGACACTTAAACCCTCCCTATGGGACTCATGGGCCATACACCTAAAATGGGGTGGGAGTGTATAAGTCTTGCATAGGGAGGAAGTGAATATTTGGGAGTAATATAATCCAACCAACACCCATCAGTAGATAACTGGGTTTTTTTTACCCCCTTCATTTTCAGTCTTCATACTTTCTCTTTCTTTCTTTCTTTTTTCCTGCAATCTAGCACCTCTACAACAATGTTGGGTAGAAATGAGGGTAATAGACATCCTTGTCTTGTCCCTGATTTTACATAGATTGCTTTTTAAAGTTTCACCGGTAACCAGGTTGTTTAATTAATGCAGGTTTTCTGTAGATCCATTCCATTCAGGAAGTAAAGGAATTTCCCTTCCATTTCTAGTTTACTAATTTTTTAAACATAAATGTTGATAAAAATTTTTTATTAAGGTATTATTAATATACACTCTTATGAAGATTTTACATGAAAAAACAAAGTGGTTACTACATTCACCCATGTTATCGTGTCCCCCCTATACCCCTAGATGCTGAATTTTATTGAAGCCTTTTTTTGCACTGATTGAGATATCTCCATTGTATTTTTCTCCTTTAATCATTTCCTGTTGGTAAATTACACAATTAGATTTCCTACTATTAAACCAAATTTGCTTTCTTCTGATAATCCAAACTTGGTCATGATACATTATCTTTTGTTATACACTGCTGTCTTTGCTTGGTTATTATTTTGCTCATGAATGCTTACAAAATGTTTAAACAAAATATTTATAAACGCCATGTAATTAGCCTTCCACTTGCTGTCCTTGTCTGGTCTGGATGGCAAGGTAATGGCGCTTCATAAAGTGATCTGAGGACCCCCTGGAGCTTCATATCCTGGAGAGTTTGTGCACTGTTGCAATTATCTGTACCTTAAATATTTGGAAAATCTGTCTATAAAAATCATCTGGACCTGCTGTCTTTGTGATAAACTTTAAAAATAAAGACTCAATTACCCTAATGGCTATGAAACTGTCCAGATTTTCTATTTCTTGTTTCTTCCTCATTTCTCTGGGCCCTAAGCATTTCTCTAATTTCCTGATAGCTCGGCTAGTTCATCTTTAAATTTATTTATTTGTTTGTTTATTTCAGGGTATCTATTCTGTCATATTGCTAAAAATGAAAGTACCAAACCCTCTCTTTGTCTCTGTCTTTGGTCTGGACTCTCTTTATTTTCACTTTCTATGGGAAAAAACATACAGACACACATGCACACACGTGGATATATACATACAACAGATATATCACACACAAACACACACAGAAATTCAACAAGCTACCGCAAGCTTTTCAACTAACCAAGTCGGTTTCTTCATTTCAAAATGTGGACTGTAACCCATATAAAACTTGGCCACTTTGTAGCCTATCTCAGCCCAGTGTTTAATCCAGTACAATAGTAAAAAGTAAATAAAAAACAAAATACTTATTCTCTTGAAAACACCAAAGGAAGCTTCAACTTAAAGATACGTTTCAACCTCCCCTTACTCCGCTCTAATATGTCTCTAAAATTTCCATCTTCTCTCACTCGAACTCTTCCAATCTTCCCAGCAAAATTCAATATCTATTTATGTTAACAAAAATTAGTAAACTAGAAGTAGAAGGGAAATTCCTTAACCTTATGAATGTAATCTACAGAAAACCTGCATCAAACAACCTGGTTACCAGTGAAAGTTTAAATAGCACCATCCTTTCCTCCTCTTCCTCTCACGTTCTGAGTGGCCTGGGCTCTCCCACCAGAAACTCTGTCCTTCCCAGGGAAATTCTGAGCCCACTGGACCCTTTTAAGCTTGTCACAATGCCACTGCAGCCCCTCAGAAGCCCTGAAATGCAAGTGGAGTTGGGAGGACTGGGGGGGGAAGGGATAGTGGTATTCTCAAACTTTATTGTATGGGTTTTCTCTCCCAGGATAATGCATGCCTTGAAGGACCAGAAACAATGAAGGTAGGGCACCTGGCCCAGTGCCTGAAGCACTGTAGGTTTCACATAGATGAGTACCCTCTGTTACACTGCCACCAATCCCAAAAATCTCTGAGCCACAACAGTCCCCGCCCCCCACTCCCCAGGCCAAACAAAGGGTTTAGAGTTTTAAGATGGCTTTTGAGTTCTACATTATTGTGGTTCTACGTTATTGAAATGTGCATAAAGATGGGATAAAGAAATATTTTTTGCTTTTGGCATCAAAGAAATAGGTGAAGGGGACTAAGAGGTACAATCTTCCAGTTATAAAATAAATTAAGTCACCAGGATGTGGAGTACAGCATAGGGAATATGGTCAATAATAGTGTAACAACTAAGGTGACACCATTTCACAACATATACAAGTGTTGAATCACTATGCTGTGCACCTGAAACTAATTTTGTATGTCAATTATGCTTCAATCAAAAAGCAAATATATTTTAACACACACAGAAAAGAGAAAACTGTTAAAAAAATGTTTCATATGAGCAAACATGTCCTAAGGTTAAATGATGAAAACAAGAGGTTCCCTCTTTCTAGCCCTACCCTAATCACTACCCACCACCCACAGACCAGATTCACCTTGGAAAGTACAATTTGTGATACACTGACTGTACATGTGAGCCTTCCGGTTACCAATCCATGGCCTACAGACACACACAGGAAGACAGGCGGCACAAGGAAAAGACTGCAGGACCCGGGGGCTGGCTGTGGCCGGAGTCAGACTGACGAACTGTTCACCCAGCCAAATGACCGCATGTGTGTTACACACACTGGTCCTCCGCAAGCGAGGGTAGCTTGCAATAGACCCTGGTACTTAAGTGTTAGCTGCAGGGCTGGGTGTCAGCCCTCAACCAAGTTCCTGATATTCTTTAATCATTAGGCAAGTATTCAAAAACATGTCAAAGAATGTTATCTATTCAAAAGATCTGATTTATATGAAAACTGATTTTCTAAGATGTTTTGTTTTGACTCAGTCCCCAACTCATCTGCATCCTTCTCTCTCTACATGTTAAGTAAAAGATTTTTCAAAGTTTTGGAGCCATGTGAGAATTTCCTGTCCTTCAGTTTCACACCCGGTAGCTGCCAAATTCAGGTAGCAGCTTCCAAGCGATTTCTTTTGATCTCTTGACAAGGCCAGTCAAAACCTGTGGCCACCACCCCTCAAGCCTGTGGCAGTCCCTTAATAAAGCTCCAGCAGCCTGGCATTTTATTTGGATTGGGAAGCACAGGCAGTGGCCATTAGGAATGCCAGTTCCTCAGGGATAGGGCTGACAATCTTTTTATGATACTCCACTGAATCTGGAACAGTTCTGTGTACGTAGAACTGTGTACAGTTCTGGGTACCCCCCAAGCATCCCATGTGATACTGTGATAGGCCCCTAGCCCTCCTTGCAGCTACGGGTGTTCATGGGTGTTCATGTGACTGAACGTGGCTACTGAGAGGTATGTAGAAGTTGTTGGGTGGGACTTTTAGGGAAATCTCTACAAGGAGGACGCCCGGCTGGCATGCATCTTTCTGCCTTTCCTCTCTTCCTCCTTTCTTCACCCAAGGGCAAATGGTTGCTATGGCCCCAACAGCCCTCTGGGGCCATGAGGTGATGTACTAAGAATGATGAGCTCAGACAGAATGAGTGTGGGTCTCTGATAAATGAGGAGCCTGTGGGCCTACCCTGGACTGCCCACTTTGGGGCTTTTGAAAGGGGAACAAATCCTTAGATATGCAAACCATTGGTTTTAGAGGACCCTTTCTGTTACACCCCGCTGAACCTAAACCTGATATAAGGGCAATCATGCCTGTGGCAGCCACCTAGAATCACGTGAGACCCCACCCTCCCAACTCTTGACAAAAGGCCAGCCTCCATCAGGACAGTATGGCAGAAGGGTGAGGCCCCTCGGAGATACAGTCCAACAGCTCAGACTACCTTCTAGGCCCACTCAGCCTCTAGACGGGCCTGTGGGTAACAATGACACGTGGTAAGTTAACTGACAGCACGTAGTCCAGACCAAGACCTAGATACGGCCTTGAGTGGGCTTGAGTGGTAACTCTATGCTTCTCTACGTGACTCACTGTCTAGAGGCTCTGACGATGGAAAGAGCCGTCTACAGAGGCCGTGTCAATCAGGACCAAGATTAGTCAAGGTTACTTGGAGATTTTAAAAAACTCTCATTTTTAAATGCTGATACTGGGATTATTGTTACATTTTCTTTAGTTTCTTCTCTTTTGATTTCGAGACACAAACTGAAATATTCACAAATGAAATGAAATTATTCACTTCAAAATACTTTGAGGGAAGAAATGAATGAGGACATAGAGGAAACAAGATTTTCCATGAGTTGATCACTGGAGATACTAGGTACATGGAGATGCACTATTTTCTCTCCTTTTCTATACTGGAAATTCCTCACAATATATATATATATATTTAAGAGTGGCACAAGGAAAAACAACATTCCACCAAGGAGTGTCTGGTGGAAAGCAGAGTGGGGCACAGAGGCAAACACACAGATGAGTAGTGGGTTTCCCTCCTGTTGGAATCACAAACCACCCACTAACATCATGCTGTGCAGTCATTCAAAATCCAGCCTGGCTGCCCAGCCCACATATAATTGTAATGAAAAGCTCGAGCCAACCCCACTCCCTCCTCTAGATCATCCATCACTGAAAGCCTCTGTGAGAACACTATAAACTCCTCTGCCTCTGCATTAGTCACAGGGAACACTCACTTAGGGCCACCAATACTAAACACTATTGTTAATTCTATGCTAACAGCTTTGGGATCCAAAGTGTAATGAGATGTTTCTTCAGAGACAAGGCCTCGGTGCAAAAAAGGTTGAAAAGTATGCCTTGAAACTAGATTAATGCCTTCCTTCTCTGTTGATTGGAGAGTTTGGGGTCTACCTTTCTGACAAGTTGGTAGTATGCAGAGTGCTAAAAATTATAACAATGTAAATGCTCAGAAGTGGGGCCACGAGTGAGAGACTATGGTACGCCCATACACTTGAATGTGTTTATAGCCTATTTAAATGATGTTTATGTGAAATGCTTATGCTACCATATTGAATAAGAAAATAAGGACACAAAATTGTTTGTTGGGTATAATCCCCATGATGTAAAATATACAACTAAATGGAGACAAAAGGAAACTGTCTTAATAGTGATTAAACCACGCTGATGGCATTAGGAATGATTCCTATCCATTTATTTTTCCTTAAGGTACAAGCACACCTAATTTAGAGACCTAATTTGGGGACTCTGAATTAGGAGGATGTGGCAGGGTTCTTTAACGCATAGATTTTCAGCCAGACTCTTACCTGGGTACCATGGATAGAACTCAGGGTGGTGATAAACTTGGCTGGGGAAAAAAATCGTATCTTTATTTTCACTTACCTCTAACTGAAAGTTTTTTTCTTCTGGATTTTTTTTTTTAGTAAAATAAACATAACATAAAATGTACCATCTTAGCCATTTTGAAGTGTGCAGTTCAGTGGCATTAAATACATTCACACTGGTCTGCAGTCACCACCATCTGCCTCCAGAATGAAATTTACTATTGCCTTGAAGGGATGAAGCGAAGAACCACGGTGAATTACCAGCACCTGTGACTTTGTCACCAACAGAAATCAAAACTATCTTCATGTCATATTACAGCTGTTGCAGGGACTCTGAACTGTTGTTCATGCTCCTCACAGCTTTGAAATTTAGGTAATTAGGAGAAATGCCACCATGTCTCATTATTTAAATAAAAGTACTATGTTACAAATCTGTTTTGTGATACTTTGCTAGCTATATTTCAATATAAGTTTTCCTTTGTGATCCTATGCATTTTGTGCACTTAAAACACGGTATTCTGAGAAGAAATTGATAGGTTTCACCAGATGGCCAAAGGGGTTCACAAGACAAAAAAAAATTATGAAACCCTCATATGGGTTCCTGACAGATGGAGTAATTAAAGTATTTGCTACCCTCACCATACAATAATGGGTGTACCAAATTCTTTACAGTTATTCTGTTGGTGATGTGGCCTAGTAGAATATGATACCACATCCATCTGCATCTCTCCAATCCACTGTGCACTTAGCCCTGGGAATAATCCCGTATGCATGCATCCCTTTGGAAAACAATGTTCAGTGGACTCCAAATGACATTCACAGGTGAATAGGAAGCTAATAGCAGAAAGAGCATGAAGGTATCAGAACAGGTTTTAAAAAGAGAAACAAACCAGCCTTACTTTTCAAAAAGAATCCATTTCCCTGATATACTTCTTCCTTTATTCAAAATATTTTTTTGAAGATACTCCTCACCACTAATCATCAGGGAAATGCAAACGAAAAGCACAATGAGATCACGTTACACCTGTTAGGATGGCTAGTATCAAAAAAACAAGGAATAACAAGTGTTAGCAAGGATGTGGAGAAAAGGGAACCTTGTGCCCATTGATGGAGTGTAAATTGGTACTGCCACTATGGAAAACAGAATGGAGGTTCCTCAAAACATTAAAAACAGAACTACCATATGATCCAGCAATCCCACTTCTGGGTGTTTTTCCAAAGAAAATGAAAACACTAACTTAAAAAAGATAAATGTCCCCCCATGTTCACTGCACCATTATTTACAATAGCCAAGACAGGGAAACAACCCGAATGTCCACTGGGGGATGAAAGGAAAAAGAAAATGTGGGATATTATTCAGCCATAAAAAAGAATGAAATCCAGCCATTTGCAACAACCTGGGTGGACCTCAAAGGCACTATGTGAAGTAATTCAAGGGAATACAAATACCATAAGCTCTCACTTATATGTGGCATCTACCAAAAAAAGCAAAACACTAAGCTCATAGATACAGAGAAGAGATTGGTGGTTGGCAAAGATGGGGGTGAGCAAAATGGGTGAAGGGGGTCAAAAGTTACGAACTTCCAGTTATAAAATAAATGTCAAGGGTATGTAACGTACAGGATGGTGACTATAGCTGACAATACTGTATTGCATATCTGATAGTTGCTAAGAGGCTAAATCTAAAAGTCCTCATCACAAGAAAAAGAAATTTTGTAACTAGATGTTAACTAGACTTACTGTGGTGATCACTTCACAATATATACAAATATCAAATCATTATGTTGTACACCTGAAAATGACATTACATGTCAATTATACCTCAAAATTATTTTTTGTAATCTGTTAGGGTGCAGGGTGCTGTATCCCTTTGGCTATGACCATTATTTGATACTTTTCTATGCATATAAGATTTTCCTTTTTGCAAGTCCCTTGTCTCCCATAATTTTCAAATAAAACTGTTCTATAATGTTGAAAGATGTCTACCTAACCTACAGTTGCTTTCTCTGAGGGAAGCCCCCACCACAAGAGGGTCACAGAGTTGGGTCTCAGTGGTCTCTCTATGAGCCCCTCTCTAACAGTGGCTGACTGGCCAAGGGTAGAAAGCTGACTCAAGCTGAGCCAATCAAATTCTCTCTCATGGGAATGTGGAACTGGCAACCAGAGTTACTTCCTGGTGCTTTGAACTTGGGCACATAAACTTGGGCGTACAAGGTAGCATGTTTGGTGATGTGCCTGCTAAGGCTGAGACATCAACCCAGGGTAGGACATGGGTGTGCAGAGAGGGACGGAGATGCTCTGGCTGCACCTTCTGCCCAGGACGTCTGCATCCACATACAGAATCCTCCCGGTCTGAGGCTGGTCCTCGGGAACCCCAATTGCTAAGTTTAAAGTTGGCCCCTATGCACCCCCCAGGGCAGCTCATGATCAACTCAGCCCTCTCTTCCAGAGCTCGGCCTTAACGTCCCACCAGTCCCTTCTGCAAGAAGCCACCTAAGCAGTGTACCTCAGGTCGGCCAATGCTTCTGCGGACACGTGCTCCAACTCCTTCTGACTGCTCCCGGCTGAGCACTGAGAGCGTGACCTTCTTGGAGGATGCCATGTTCAAGTCTAAGATGAGTGTGTTCTGATGCTGAGCTGCAGAGGATAGAGGGCAAAAGGAGAGACAACAAAAAAGAGAAGTCACAAGGAGGGCACATCCAAGGACTACAAAATAAAGGGCATTAATCTGAAACCCCGCTCAAAATATTGACAGCTGCAATTTATTGATCACTTACTCTGCACAGGACCTGGGTCAGGTGATGTAAAACAACAGTAATGATGGTGAACCCGCGTGAGTGCTAACTAGGCTTCCAGCACCCTACTACTTCTTTACAAGCACTACCTTACATAACCCTATAGGCATCTTTTACAAGGTTTGGCAATATCAGCTCTGTTGGGTACCTACTAAAACCTCTAATGAGTACTTTCTCTGCTTTATCACTTCAAAATCTCTTAGCCTCCCTGCAGACCAGCCCTACCTCACAAGATAGGTGCCAGAGGTTGACAGAGAGATCTGTGAGGCAACATGGGGAACACGGAGAAAAACCAAGATGTCCAGGACTCTCACTGCAACCTGCTGAAAATCCTGGCACTGAAAGGGATCTTGAGGGTCATCACATTCAAAGACCCATCTATCCCTGAAGTTCAGGACCAACTTCAGGGGCAAGGAATCTTGAGCATTCTCATGACAGCTTCAAGAGCACAGAAAACTCATGCAGGAGGTGCCCCTGATAGTGCATGCCATATTTCACAAATGATCTAAACCCTGGGTTTATTATTCAAGTGTTTCCTCCTTGTGGGTCTAAGTGGTACTGGATGGAGTATCAGAAAACAAGGATAATCAATCCCTTTTCCACTTCAAATGCTTATGACACTACCTTCAATCCCTAAAGCTCTTCAAGTGAAATATAATTCATTCCTTCAAAGACTCTTCTCAAACCAAGAGCGGTGCTTTGGCAAGAAGCACAGGCTCTAGAGCCAGACAGCCAGGGTTTGCATCCCGGCTTCACCACGTACCAGCTGTGTGACCTAAGGCCAGTTGCTAAGCCTCTGTGTGCCTCAGTTTTCCCATCTGTAAAATAGGGTAATAAGTCTGTAATAAGACTGCCTACCTTAGGGGGTATAATCAGTGCTCTAAGAATGTTAGCTGCTGTCATTCAGAGCGCTCTCCTGAAGATGTCTTCCAGTCAGTCTCAGTGTGTCCTCCCCAGAGCAGGCAAGTAAGTATTTATTGGGTGCTGGACTGTGGCGTACAAAAATGAGGTTCCTCTCAAAGCCACACAGAACTGTCAGCGCCTACATACCAGCAACTAGCAAGTATTTTACCCCCATCTGGACTACTCCTGGTCGGTCCAGACTCCTGCAATTCAACTCGATGCATGTGAACAACGGATGAGCTACTCACCCGGCCGCCGTGCTGTGCAGAAAGAAAAGCCGTCTACCACTTCCACCACCTTGCAGGGCTCTATTTCTGCACGCCCTTCGTCTCCCTGGGAGACTCCCCCAGGGCCTGAGGCGGGCTGCGCGAGGCGGGGCGCCACCGACTGCCGGCCGGCACCCCCGCGCGGGCGCCCGGCATTCCCCCGGCGGCGCGGCGGCGGGGCGGGGGCCGCGGGGCGGGCGCCGGGCACTCCCACGGCGGCGGGGCGCGGCCGGGCCGTCTCACGGTGACTCAGCACTTCGCTGCCGGCCGCCGCGGGCGGGCGGGAGGCGGGGGCTCTCGGGCGCCCCGGGCCGGGGGTCACTCCCTTACTCCCCGCCGCCCGCAGCCTCCCCTGGCGCCGCCCTCCGCCCTTTCCCCGGCCGCCCTTTGACCCCTGCGCCCCTCCCGGCCCGGAGAGTCGCGCGCCCCGCCCCTGGGGGGCGCGCTGGGGCCCGACCGGTGCCCTCCTCAGGTCGGTGGGCCCCAGCCCTCCCTCGTCGGAAACCCGTCCTTGGCGGGAGTCAGCTAGTCACGCAACCCACGAAACTTGGTTATGTGGGTTCGAGGCCTGCCTCCATCGCTGGTTGTTAGCTTCATGACCTTAGGCAGGTGGCTCAGCCTCTCTGTGCCTGCGGAACTTCCGGTGTAAAATGGGGATAGCCATGATAATAGTACCAGACAGGTGGCATTGTACCAGGAATCAAATAAGCATGGCATGCCCTCAGCATCACACCGTTGTTACATAAATAAGTCGCCTGTTGTTTACCACTTAGAATGGGAGTGCGGGGCAGTGTGGGAGCCGAGACATTTTTTTCCTGCCTAAAGAAAAGGCACACTCTAGTGGGGAAACTAGTTGGTTAAAAGCTTGGATGTTGTTGGACTGCAGTGGGCAGGCTTTGAAGAATTTTCCCAGGGGAGCTGCGTTGTTGCAGAAGCCAGAGAGGACATGTAGTTCATTGCTAGAGTTCTTGACCAGGGGTAGAGGCATGGCTGCGGGTTTCTGTCTTCTGAACACCAGAAAGATCCACGTCCGGTTCTGAGAAAGGAAAGTGGCACTTCTAAAACAGGGATTGGCTGATTTGTAAAGAGCCAGATGGTAAATATTTGGGCCTTGCAAGCCCCATAGGTTCTCTGTAGAAGCTGCGCCCGTTGGCCTTTGCAGCAACAGAACAGTCGTAGACAACATGTAAATAAACGGGAGTGGCTGTGGTCCAATAAAACTTTAATTATAGATAATTTGAATTTCATATAATTTTCACTTGTTATGAACTATTATTCTTTTGATTTTTTTTTTATTTCAACCACTTAAAAATATAAACACCATAGTTAGCTGGCAGGCTGTACAAACTAGGTAGTGGGCCAGACTTGGCTGCAGACCTAGGCTGCAGACCCCTGCTCTCAAAGAGAACAGGTTAGTAGAACAAGGAATTGCGCCTGGCTTCCCCATATGTCGGTGGGGCTCACACCCTGCCACACACACACCCCTTACTGAAATGATTCCAGGCTAAATGGCTAATACACATGAGCACTGAAAGTGCCATGAAATAATGAAGTATCGTTGCTGACCATCATTATACTTACTTCTTCAAGTGTCTCCAAATAAAATGGAAGCACGGACTCCCCGGCACTTTGCAGTCTATAGTGAATGCTCCTGCATGATCTACCAAAAACTTCCATGTTAGCCAATTGCCTGAGCCTGAAACTCAAGCTCTCCCCGTCACTCTTCCACCTTGAAATCCTGTGGATTCTGCTCCTAATATCTCATAAATATATCCGCTCCTTTCCATTTTGACTGCCACCAGCCATCTTCTATGATAGCCACCCCACTCTTCCTGCCTTCAGACTCACCACCTGCCAATCCGTTGTCCAAGTCACAGGGAAATGTTAACACCTGCCTAAACCCTTCACAGCCCTCAAAAGAAAGTCCTGTGATGTCTTTAACCTGGCCTCTCCCTCAGCACGCTGACTCTTGCTCAAGGGTACACACACACACACACACCCTCTTTCCACCATGCTCAACTCCGTTTAGGCTCTGGAATGTGCACTGTCCCTCGTGTTGGCTTGCTGTCCTCTGTCTGAAACTTTCTTCCTCTCTCCTTGATCTGGCTTATCCCCATTCACCTTTCAGCTCTCAGTTTCCCTGTCACACCCTCTGGGAAACCTTCCCTGGCTTTCCCCTAGAGTCCAGGTGTGATGTTTGACATGACAATCATCACAACTACACAGTGTGGACCAGAGAGTCATCGTTTATCATCATTTGAAAGATTCTGTTTTCCTAAGGTGGCTCCAACAGTATCTCCGAACACACATGTCCTCTTCTGCAATGTGACCTTGACACTCCCCCATCACAAACGGAATTTACTTCTCTTCCTCTTGAGTCTAAGCAGGGCTTGAGGCTGTTTTGACCAATGCAATACAGTAGAAGTGACACTGTGCCAGCTCTGGGCGTGGCTCTGAAATGGCCTGGCGGCTTCTGCTTCCTGTCCACTGGGAGCCAGCTGCCGTGTGAGAGGAGCGGTGGCTCTGAGCCCACCATTCCGGGAGAAACCCATGCTGTGGATAAGACATGAATGCCCAACTGTGTCCTTCCCAAATTCCAGACCCACAGAACTATGAGTCAATAAAAGTGGTTGTTTTAAGCCTCTCAGCTTCCAGCTCGTTTGTTTCATGACAATAGGTAACTGGAAAATATGCTCTTATTCAAGAAGAGAGACAAAGTGGATTTTCAAAGCTCTCTGGGCTAAAGAAAAAGTCTTAAAAATATTTACCCTTGCAGAAAGCAGATAAGTCCACTTAATTGTCACTACCAAGGCACACAGCCATCCAGCAAGATGAACAACTATGAAACTCAACTTGGGAGACTAAATGTTGCATCCCACTGGCCATGCAGTAACCTCTGGAGTTCAGGGGTCCTAAAGGCTCCTCTGTTACAAGTAGTGTTTACAAGGACAGCTGCATAATAAAAGAAAACAGGACAGAATGGCTTCGCTGTACATTTTTACCCACTTCTGTACTGGATTTGCGACAGTCTTGGGAATGCTTCCAGTTTATTATCTTTGCAAAGCTCCCTCTGGTACTCAGAAGCCCCTCCGCCTCCAAAACTGTAACAGGACTTAGAGCTTCCCTCCCTTCCTTCTTGTCCTGGAGAAGCCAGTCATGGGCAGAAGCTAAGGCCAAGGGCATGCGTCGTCAGGGCAAGGCAGGGGATTTTATGTGCAGGCCCCAGCAGAAGACAAGAGCAGGCCTGAAGAGCTAGACTTAAAAGGAAGCAAACAAAACTGAGAGACGAGCGAATTTTCACACATCGAATATGGGGCATGTGATGCTTCACCACAATGGCCCACTTTTGAGAGGAGAAATGTGACCCTGTAAGTGGAGCTCTGAGCACTTTCGCATTGTCATTTGCCATCCAGATGGACATGTCGACCAGGCAGCTGGGTAGATGAGTGTGTATACACCATCAATCACCTTTGGAACCCTGGGAAACGGGGAGAAAACGCCATGCTGATATGACAATGAAGAAAGCCTTCCCTAATGGTTCTGAATAATACCTTTATATCATCTTTAGAGACACCCACATTATCAATACATGTGATCTTTTTTTCCTTTATTACCCCCAAATTTTATTTCCCCCTTCTGTATGCCTTATTTTCTTCTCAAAAATATATATTCTAGAAATACATGGGCATCTTACATATCTCATCATTTCCAATTTTTTTTTCTCCTTCAAGCAGCAACTCAAAAATTCCTTCTAGCAGATTGGTCAGGTTTTGGTAATTTGCCACCCAGAGCACTGTAACTGTGGTTCATTAAGTGACAAATACCTCTGGAATATTCCATAGTAGGGATGCAGATTCACTGAACCCAGGGAATCAACTGGGAACCCAGGGAATCAATTAGTCAGGGACTGATTCTTTTGTAAACATTAGTTTATGATGGCCATTAATGTGCTGGACGTCCAAATACATCCAGAAATACGTGACTCCCATTTCCAGCAGTGTGAAAGCACTCTGCACAGACCCGATCTGTTTCATTGACCAGGGATCTGACTCAGAAGCTGCATGTGATCAACCACTGCATGAAACTTGTAACTGTTCCTCTCTATCTTTCCCGTGGGTTTTTGGCCACATACCAGAAAAGACCAGCTTATGATCCTCTCTTTTGAGCCACAGAACTTTCTTAGGATTCATCATAAGCAAAACATTCTTGGCCCTGATAGGCCAGTTCATCGTGAACCAGGGAAGTGGAGAAATGTAAATGAATGATTCCCCTGATACCTCGATTACCCTGATAACCTTGCCCAGTTTTCAGCTTTTGTAAGGTTGGGTCTTCTGGCCAAATGAGGGCTGCTTTCAAGATGATAGTCTCAGAATTAAAAGGCTAATTTGAATACCTCTATGTAGTCAATTTATGTATGCTGAGGGATTTACAGATAAAGTGTACTGATGTCCACAATTCAGTTTGAATGCACCAAAAATAACAGCAGTCATAGTACTAATACCAATAAGGTGGATTGATGGATGGATAGAGAGATGGACAAATGGATAGATATATGACAAAGTAAATATAGTAAATGTAATTGTAGAATCTAGATGGTGGTGTATGTGTACTCACCATAAATTCTTTTAAATTTTCTGTAGTTTGAAATTTTTCATGATAAAATTTTGGAAAAGATAATTTGAATCAAAGTAAGAATCATGGCTGGAAGGGTTCCCTAAGGATACTCACTTTGCCTACTTTCTTCACTGCCAACTCTGTCACCTTGTACACAGTATGATTCAGTGAATGTCTTTTGAATTGAGCTCTTGAACTAAATTCCAAGCTACTAGGTCACTTCCACAGCTGCAGGATTCTTCTAGAGCATGAGTTGGCAAATTTTTTTCTGTGAAGGCCAGATAATAAATATTTGAGACTTTGTGGGTGTACCATCTCTGTCACAGCTACTCAGCTAACCAGCCATACACAATATATAACGAATGGTTGTAGCTCTGTTCTGATAAATTTTATTTACAAAAACAGAAACAGATACGCTAAATGCAGGTGGTAGGCCAAGGCCATGTAGAAGCCAAGTCTTTACCGTCCATAAAAAGTGGGAGTAAAATTGATAAAAAAGCAATGGGCTGTGTAAAAACTTCACAGATGTCAGGAAAGGTAACAAGATGAAACAACAAAGATGTTCATGTCCACCTCCACCTGCCACTCACCAATCTCCTTGCATAAGGAACAAGGCTATTTGTTCCACCACTGAACCTGAAGTTTAGCATGCAAGCACCCTTAGAAGAGGTGATACATTAATATTTGATTCCTGTAAGTGTAAACTATTTACACCAGATCCCAACCTCCAAATGGGTGGTTTTAGCACCAGAAGGAATCAGTGCAGAAGGTGACGGAGTGACGCCCTCAGTGCGGAGATTCCCATGGAGAATGCTCAGGTTGCAGAGAGAAGCCATCGGAGCCCTTGTGGGCTTACTCTTTAGTGAGGAGAGACAGACATTAAAGGTAGTAAGTAATTATGTAGCAGGTTTTAAGCTGGAAAAAGGAAGCACAGAGCAGAGTAAGGGAGATTGGGAGTGCCGGGTGGAATGAAGTTGTAGTACTGCCCAAGGTGGCTCAGGCAGGGCTCATCAGGAACATGCCATTTGAAGCAGAGCCAGGAAATGAGGAAATGAACCAGGCAGACATCTGTGACAGTTTGCCAAGCATGCCAGTACAAAGGCCCTGGGGCAGATGGCACTTAGAATATTGTAGTAGTAGCAAGGAGGCCAGTTTTAGGAGTGGCAATGGGGGTGGAAGACTCATGGGATGATATTAGACACAGTGCTGGGGACCAGAAGTGGGGGACCATTGAAGAGTTCAGACTGCAGCAGGGGTGGGATTGGACCTAACATTTAAAAGCAGAGACTTCAGGGAGCAAGAACAGAAGCAGGCAGAGCAGTCAGGAGGCGAGGGCAGTACTCCAGGGGAGGGATGGTGGCAACTTAGACTAGAAATCAGCAGTAGAGATGGTGAAAAGTGGCCAAATCTGGGATATATTCTGAAGATAGAGCTAACCATATTTCATGAAGAATTGGAGGTTGGGTGTGAACGAAGGGCAAAAGTCAAGGGTGATTCCATATTCTGGAAGGATAGACTCGCTTGGAGCTGAGGAAAGGAGACTCGGAGAAGCTAGTGTGAGGGATTCGTCAGAAGGTCAGTGTTGGACATGTTAAGTTTGACATGTTTATTAGATATTCCAAGTATAGATGGACAATTAGACAGTCAAATACAAGTCTGGAATTCAGGGGAGAGGACCTGGCTGAAATTTGGAATTATAAGAATATATTTGGTGTTTAAAGCCATGAGTCGAATGAATTTTTTTAAAGTGACAGAAAAATAGAGGTCAGCTAGAAGCCAGAAGAACACCTCCCTCTCTCTGACACACACAAAAAGAACTATCAGGTTCTTTCTTCTAAAAATATAAGCACTCCTCCCCCAGAGTGAACAAGCTAGTTTATTGGATGAAGTCAAATTGCCCCCTGCTGCGTTGCCATACAAGCTTGTTGCCTACTAACCGCCTGCCTGCTTGAACAAGCTTGAGAGAAAATTCCTCAGGGTCACCGTGGGTGGAGCTGACAGCACAGACTGTACTTTGAGCACATAAAATCACGTAATCAAAGCAGCTGATTGCCACAGGTTGGAATTAAACTAAAAACGGAAAATACAGAGCCAAAGAGAGGTTCAGGAGAAGCAGCCAAGAAGTGAAGGAATAAATAAGTAAATAAATTGGTGACATTTTGACTCAAAGGAAACCACTCCTCCCAACTACCCTTGAGTGTTTCAATCCCAGGAAGGGATGGGAATCCCAAGAGACTGTGGCCAGGTGTTTCCAGGGTTCTACTACTTCCTTCTTCCCCTCCCCTAAATTTACCTTTTATTCTAGAATTGATCTTCCACCATGCTACCATGTTCAAAGAGTGGAGTAAATACAAATTGCCATGTGTAGAGGCTGCTGTGTCACTGTCACTCTGCTTCATCCTCAATTTAACAACTGCCTATTTTATTCCTAGAGGATGGAGAGCTATTTGGAATCCCAGTGACTTATTTACTATCAGAGTATAATCTCTCCTCTTTGAGTTCTTCTGAAAGACTCTTTGCCCTTCCCCAGAAATATTTAAAAAAAGAACTCTGCAAGTTATTTTTCACACACTCTACAGTAATTTAACGTTTATGTGGTTCCTCTTCCACCAGACATTAGCCTCCTGAAGATGTGGGCTGTATAAACACCAGCTGTAGCAGAATGCTTAGCACGTGGTAGGATCTCAGTAAGACTTGACTGAATGATGCTAATTCTGTGTCCGCGCAAAAGAATCCTTCTTTGAAAGTTGGTAACTTCTCTCTCCTTCAGCCAGCCCAGGATTTCATCACACTGTAGATGTACAAATGGGTTAAAGTAGCCAGCCATCTGCAAGCTACACAGTATGTGAATGCACACCAAGGGGATGATGCATTTTCTCCACCGTCCATAGCAGAGCCTAAAGTAAGTCATTAGGTTTCCTGCATATGACCAGCCAGTGTGCACCAGAGAAAATGGTGGAATGAGGAAAGCCAGAAGTTGTGATAATGGCATAATGCCATAAGTGAGGGTCACACTTGCTCTCTGCAATCTTGGTGCCTGGTACCTAAGCATTTTTCCATTTCTGTACTTATGAATAATTTAAGCTGTGGAAATGTGCTCCTTTTCGGTCACATTAACCGATGGTGCTCGCTCATACATTCTCTGGCCTCCCTTTGGGCCGGGTCGAGTTGAAGTTTTCATTGCTTATTCTGCGCCCTTTGGCAGCGTTACCTCATGCTTCCTGACTCGAGTGAGAGAAGTCAGTGTCAGAGTTGGTGTTTTGCTATTTTCTTGTCCTTTCCAGCGGAGAGCTCTCTAAACAAAGGCAGGGTTATCACATGTACCCCAGAGCTGCCTGGGAAAAGCAGGAGCCGTAGTTATCAAAGTTGGAACCTTTATGAAATGTGCTTTTGTCTCCGTTTTTTGTTGCATTCAATCAGATCAACAAGTGTTGGCTAAGTGTTGAGCGTGGTTTCCTGTGGGATTGTGTAAGGCCTTGCAGGACAATAAACGTTTGGGGGGCACTGAGTAATGTAGCCATTTCTGAGCCAGCAGCCAGGAAAATGTGAGACAATTCGCTGCTGCTGGAAGGAGAGCCGCGGGGCAGTGTTCCTGCAGGAGCAGATTAACTTCACCGCGCTGGACCCAGGCAGAGCGAGCCGAAATGGTGCGTTTCAGCAGCCGGCGGCTGCGCAGTGTCATATCCTACAGGAAGAAAGGTTCAGATCCGGGTCCTGTAGAGTCTGAGGTTCACAGAATTTGGGGAACCTGCTTTACACAAAATACTACAAAGTTATGAATATGAACTAGCGGGGGCCCCTCTGGGGCGTTTTGGATGTGACTGTGTAGTTTGGGAGCCTGCTGTAGCTTCTCTGTAAAGTCCCCGCAGCTCAAAATCTCGCTCAGGGAAGTGGTCAGGTTGTGTGTGTATCACCATCAGCTCCATCTCGTGTGTTATTTCCTCTGCTGACTTTCTCCTCATTATTCTTCAGGCGGGGCCCTTCCATGACTTCATGTTGGCTTCATAACTGCTTCTGAAAAGACAAAGAAATGTTAGTCGTGCCTTCTTTTATTTATCTGTGTTTTTATAATAGTATCTTAACTACAAATAATTGTTCTTAGGGGCCTTGCAGGTATTTTACGTGGAGATAGAAAGATGGGAGGGAGGTGAACCATATACTTGCGGCCACATTGTTACGAGTTTGGAAGTTTCTGGGGACCACAGTGATTTCATTGGATCTGAAAAGTAGCACTTTAATGTGGCCTAGGTCAGTGCTTTTCAAACTCTCCTGGCACAGGAATTCCCTGGGGATTCCGCTAAAAGGCAGATTCTGATGCACTAGGCCTGGGTTGGGAACTGAACCTCCATTTCTAACAAGCTTCCAGGTGATGCTGGGACTGCCAGTCTCCAGACTGCACTTCGAGTAACACCCAGTATCGGTTTTAAGGCATCTGGTGGCACAAATACATAGGCAATAAAGGGCTGGCACAACCTGAGCTTAAGGTAACCAGTCCCAGGATTGAAAGCTTATAACAGACCTACAGGCAGGTGCCTGTTGACCTAAGAAGACGTGGGGGCTTCCTGCCTCCCATTACCTCCTGTGCCAGGAGGTGGGCAAAGGGGATAAGGACTGAAATTTTATTACTGAGGGTCATTTCATTATCTTCAGTTTTTAAATTTTGCTATGGTCTTTTTAAAAACTTTACCTACAGGGTGATGAGGGAAGAGGTACAGGAGCTGAGGCCATCTCCTGGGGTGCTCAGCATTGTACCACCATTTTCTCTTGACTTCTCATAACCCTTTGAGGTGGTTATTGTTTTACTGGTTATTGTTTTACTCCCTTTACAGATGGGGAAGCTGAGGTTTAGCAGGGTTAAGTAACATGCCAGTTGCACAGGGCAGAGCAGGGATTTGAACCCCCCAGCTTGGTGCTTTTGCATACACCAAAATGTATGGCCAAAGCAGTGTTATGTGCTACTAATTCAGCATGAGTTATGAGAATATGGATTTATCACTTGCCTTTTTCCTAACCACCCCATAGGGTGACTGAATTAGAACATACCACATAGGATGGGGGTGTTATGGCCTGCCCCAGAGGGTGGCTGTGAGCAGTAAACAAATGCATATTTTTAAGGCGCTGCTTTAAATAGTGCCTGGCACATGGCAGGCCCTCCTTCAATGCCAGAGAGAATGACTATTACTGGGATCACTCACATCTTTCAAGGTCCACTTTTAATGCCCTCCCTCCCATAATATCTTTCTTGATGAAGAAAAAAACAACTTTTCCTTCTTCAGGCCTTTCATAGTGAAGAGAATGGACTCTGCCCTCGCACTTGAGTCGTTCCTTTCGCCTCTTCCTTTTTGAATCATGATTCAGTGCCTGCAGTGTGCCAGAATTTTCACTTACGGTTTCTCATATCAGTCCCATAAAATGAGAGCGCTGTTACTCATCACATCTTAACGTCAGAGAACTGAGGTTTAGAGCCGGGAAGGAGGCTTGGTCAGGGGGACACAGCTCACAAATGACAATCCTGTGACTGCCTCCAAGCCTTCTGTGTGCACCACCCCACAGCAACCTTGCAGGTTGATTAGTTATGAAACCTATTTTCTGAATCTGTTCCTTGTTGCTCAGGGCAGTGGAGGGCTGATCATTGTTTCTGGAATCAGTCACTCAGTGTCGGGCCCACTGTAGGCTCAAAATCAAGTGTGCTGAATAGAGCTTCGCAGCTGAATTCCTGACTCTTATGATATTGTTGTCATATAAATGCTAAGTCACCACAGTGATTCCAAGTCATGGTAATTCAGCATGCACCTGTTACACACATGACAGGTTACTTATGAGTTGCTGGCATCCTTACAGAACAGAACAATACTGATTTCTGCTAGTTGGTTTTTATTTTTTACCTCCCCTGCACTTCAATCTCTTTCTAGTTTCATGTGCTTATGGAAACAGGCAGCTTGGGCTATCTGGTAAGCAAATTGATGTGTATTCTATGTAGATGGTAATATGAGAGTCCAGTCAAATCCCACTAGCTCCTCTATGGAAATAGATTTCTGGTTAATACCTACTAGCTTTAGGATCTCATGCTTTCTAAGGCTTTTTTTTTTTAACCTTCTCAACTGAATCTGCCTTAAACAAGGGCAGGCAGAGTTAAATTTGCTAGTTGGTGGACAGGCATTTGAGTCAACCGTGGTGCTTGAGCCCTACTGACTTGTCCTAATACAAAGGAGGAGACATTCCATTTCTAAAAAAGTAGTCATCACTGATTATCACCTCCTATACTAAGGGACACCAGAAAAATGTCTTCAATATAGAATCTAAGGCTAATCTAGGGTTAGAAGTACAAGGAAGGGATAGAAGTAAAGAGAAGGAGAAAGGCAGGTCCAAACCCAAGCAGGAACCAGGGGTTCTGATAGAAGAAACTGATCAAAGGCATGAGTCATCAAAAGGGGGCTCTTCAAGTTTGTTGGGAAGCTCCGGAGTCCAGGTTAGGGAGTGGGGCTCTGAAGCACTTCAAAGACAAGTGGCTCCAGGTGTTTGTTACATGCGAACAACAGATCACAGACCCAGAGGCACAGTATGTGAGCTCATTTTTGTGACAATAAACATGCGCATGTGCCTGTCTGAAAAAACCTAGAGGTATGTTCACCACAAGGTTAACAGCCATTTCCTATTGTTTGTCCGTAGGTAGTTCTTGGTTTTGTAGGATAAGCCTGTATCACACATATTTTTAAAAAGGCAAGCCAAAAAATTCACAAAGGGCTGGATTTGGGAATAAACAATTTTGCTGAACTTTGACAAATTATATTGCATCAGACGCAATGAGGTTATGAGCCCTGGAGATTTACTAGAAAATGTGCTCACAGACTTGGTACCTCCTCACTAGTCAATGTTGTTTCCTTGAATGTACAGAAGCCATTCTGTGAAATCCATTTGTCATCGGTTTCTGTGGCTCACCATGTCAATTTGCTGGATCAAATTCCCTAAGAAACCATCTTTAGTATGATGAATGTGCAAGTTCTATAAAGAGAAATGTGTGTATATCCGTGTGTGATACTGGGAATGGTGGTGAACTGTCTTAGACAATAGGATTTGCATTCTTTCAGTGTTCCTAATGTTACAAACTGATGCAGCAGCTGAACAAATTTTGGGGAATAAACTTTGTATTCAACTAACCAGATCTATTTAACTAGCACTCTACTTTGAGGAGTAATGTTTTACCTGTGGTTATAAAAGACTTCAGACAAGAGCTTTCACGGTTTTTCTCTTTTTGTTTTGCTAGTAAACAACAAGGTTATGAGCCCTGAAAAATTTTTTCTAAGGTAGACATGTAAAAGGCAAAAGTGCCCTACAGCTGTGCCCAGTGTGGTACGTCTCCACCAAAGGGAACTTTAACTCACAAAAAGTAGACCCTCTATAGTCTTCAAGCAATTCCCTTCCTGCCAAAGAGTTTGGGTGTAGAAACTCATCCTATTTGAGCTGAGCAAGCATAGGTACAGTTTATAGCGGAGGCCAAGGTAAAAAGTAGGCACGCTGCCTGTCTTCCCAGGTCCTGCTGGGTTTATGACACCCTGATCCCTGTCCTGTTTGAGTCCAGGGCAAAGAAACCAGACCATGGCTTATAGCACCCACTATGCATAAAAGAAGCCCATTCTACTTCCCCCAAAGAATCCTGTTTTTCCCAGGTAAAACAATATTCAAAGCAGAAAGTGATCCAGACTTTATTATATTTAATGTATAAGATTCTATGACTTCTGTCTGGAGATCAAACGATGCCTTTGGAGAACATTTGAGGGATTAATACTGGCCTGATCTAAATAAATAATAGAAGCTGATTTTCTTGATTCCCATTTCTAGAGCGGCGTGGTCTGTCAGAAGGGAAGCTGGCTGGGTCTGATTGTGGTTTATTCAGTGCCAAGCTATGTTTCTTAGTCTCCCTTCCTTTCCGCTCCCCTAGCATAGTGAACCCACCATACTCCTGGGCCAGTGAGAAGTGCCCACTAGTGACTGGACAGGTTCACTTGGCATCCGCCTCCAACCAGACAGAGCAATGCCTGTGTGTGTGCTTCCTGATGGAGAGTGATAAATAGGATGCAAATATCTTCTTTTTAATGCATGACCTCGGCATTGCCAGAGTTCAGAATATGAGTGAAGGTGCCTCAGAGCGGTAACTTTTTGCTTAGAGCTTGAGAGTTAAGGACCGATACTCAGACTTCAGCTCGAATGTAAGGTGAGTAAAGGTAATTACCTTCCAGTTATCAATGAACAAAGAAAGATGGTAATTATTGGGCATCTGACTGCTAGTAACCATGTGATTTCACAAAGCAAAGAAAATTAAGAAAGTTTCTTTCTTGTGGCTTACTGCTTAACATTACTTTTCATTATCAGACCTACATCTTACTGAGGTTTGGAGCAACACTCTTAGTAGAACCAGAAAATCAATGCATTTGTTTTCTAGAAATACCGTAAGTTTTAATGTTTTACATAGTTTTAGAAGGAAAAGCAAAAGTGTTTTAAATTTATAAAGTGTCAATTCTTTTCAGTTCTTTAAAATCTCTTTTGATAGCATTTTAAAATGTTTTCTTCTCAGAAATATTGGGAAGTATACCCATGTCCTTTATGTTAAAGGTCTGATCATGATCAGGGCCTGTGGGTATGATTTACAAGGATATCAGAGTCTCACAGTAGGTCTGGATGATTTGGTCAAACAACTGGCCACATTAATGGAGAGAAATTTCAGCTGATCAATTCCTTCAGACACAGTGAGCTGTCTGGAGTTCAAATTTTTAAGTTTGATTTTATCCAATTCAATTCAGCAAATGCCTATAGAATGCCTAAGGAATAAGGAGAACTTAGACAAGGTGGTCTGGTGGGTTCGGCAAAGATGGCAAATTTATGATCCAGAGTGGGAGATGAGTACAATGCCTAAACTGCTGTAAAAAAAATCAACACATTTCACGGCAGTGGAAAAAAGTGCAGGTATGTGTGTATTTAAGGTCCTGCTTAGTTACATTTCCCTCTATAACCCTAAATCTAATTTTTAAAAATTACACTCTTTTTATTATCCCTGAATGAGAAATAGTTGAAAAAATTACGAAAGCCAAAAGAGAACTAGCTGGATGCTACAAACACTTATTTTAATTATTTTACTTTATTTAGGATGACAATATGGACACAAAATCCATTCTAGAGGAACTTCTTCTCAAAAGGTCACAGCAAAAGAAGAAAATGTCACCAAATAATTACAAAGAGCGGCTTTTTGTTTTGACCAAAACAAACCTCTCCTACTATGAATATGACAAAATGGTGAGACCCTATTTATTCTACTGTCTTTATACTTATTTTTCTCAAGTCTCCACAACATGCTTAATTATAATGGAACAACATCAGGCTTCTTAGCTTGCACAGTAAGGATCAACGTCCACTCACTTATATTGTCTTTTCTTAACCAAGGTGTAATTAACACACACCGGTTGACTTTCCTAAGGCGAATTGTAACTTAGAACAGAGGTTCTCAACTGAGGGTGATTTTGCCCTCCAAGGGACATTTGGCAATGGCTGGGGCTATTTTGGTTGTCATAATTTGGGGGATGGAGATAGTACAGTACTGTGATCTAGTGGGGAGAGGCCAGGGATGTGCCTAAACAGCCTATAGTGCCCAGGACAGCCTGCACGGCAAGGAATTACCTGACTCCAAATGGGGGTGAAGATGAGAAACCCCGCCTCCACAGAGTGCTGGAAATAAAGACTATTTCTATACAGTTGAGGTCTCTATCACTGTAGAAATACTGAAATACTGTCATAAAATTGAAACAGATGAAGATGTTTTGTGGAGTTAAATCTTAATTTCCCTGAGTAGATTAACCGCATGGCAGATCATTTGAAATGTATTTCAAGATTATCAAGCAAAATTATTCAGTGCGGCTAGAAGTCTTGCTTTTGAAAGGGTGTGTTTGCAAACTTTCTTTTGTGTCCACACTCGAAAAATATACTCTGTTGTCATTGGATTTTGATTCTCACAGAATGAGAATGATTTGCACATGTCCATCCCATGTCCCAGTGTCTCTCCCAAAGTGTAACCTTAACTTTATGCTTCACTTTTTAATCCAGAAAAGAGGCAGCCGAAAGGGATTGATTGAGCTCAAGAAAATCAGATGCGTGGAGAAAGTAAATCTTGAGGAGCAGACCCCTGTGGAGAGACAGTACCCATTTCAGGTAAGGGGCGGGACAACATTCCACTGGCCGGATGGTCCCTCTGAATACTTCCCATTATGAACTTGGTATATGGCGGGGCAGGGAGGTAAATAAACATGTGGCGAGACCAGTCATTAAGACAATGAGGCTTGCAGCACGGGCTGATGGGAGTTGGGCAGTTTGCTAAACTTCTGTGCACCAATCTGCCTTCCTTGGAGGGAGAAGAACGACGATGGCCTAACTGCCTCAGGGTCTGACTATCCCTTTGTGCAAAGATGCTGTGCATGCCCACCGTGCATTGCAGGGTACTAAGCACACTCTGAGTATTACAATGCCTTCCCTGTCCCCAGGGCATTCACAGGTCATTATAAAACAGTGAGGGTGAGGGCTGAAATGGAGGAGGCTGGGGTGCCCCAGGGAATGGAAGCTTTGATGCTCACTCCAGGAGGTCAGGGAGATTATCTGTTGGGGTGACTCTCTGGGAAGGACAATTGGAGCTAGGCTCAGCCAAAACAGGAAGGGCAGCGAAACAAAAGAAAGAACAGATGGTAAGGCAGTGATAGGTGACCTAGGAGAGTTCCGGGCAGTCCTTTTGAATACAGCAGCCCTGTGAGACTTGAAGGACGGAGTCCAGAAAGGTGGGCAGGGCCACACCATGAAAGGCTCTCACCACCTGCTAAGGAGTTTTCATTTTACCCTGAAGTATTTTAAGCAATGGTGTACCATGGAGTGTGCCTATAGTACCCTTTAGAAGTGGTCTGACCCAAGTCATGTGCTACTTTTATTATATCACGAACACTTACCTTTCTGATCTAAAGGCAGGTGGGCAGTCCTTCCGATGGCCAGACACCCAGTGCTAGTATGAAGCAACTGTGGCCCAAAATGAAATAAAACAAAATAACCCAGTTGATTAACAACCCACATTTCCCACTTTAAAAAAGAACATTTCTCCATTGGGACAAACCGGGCAGTGTGTGCTCATGGAAGATGCTTCAAATTCACATCACAGAGGCATGAAATAATCACAAGAATACAGGCTTTGGAGCCTTGGAGAGCTAGCCCCACTGCTGAGATTTCTGTAACCAGACAACATGCTCAACCTTTCTCTGAATTCGTTTCTTCATTTGCAATATGGGCATAATCAGATATTTTTCATGGTGTTGAAATAGGATTAAAATATTAAAGTATGTAGGTAAGAGCTTAATAAATGGTCTGCATTACTTACCCAGAGAAGTTGAATAAACTAGAGAAGGATCTGGGGAAGACAGTATAATGTTCAAACACTTAAACTAGTGTCTTAAGGAGTAGAAAATGACTTAGGCTGGGGATTCCTTGGGGGTGGGGAGATATGACCTAAGAGAATGAAGTAACAGGGAGACATGTTTTTACTCGATATAAGCACAAAATATATGGAAATTGGCAAGGATGACATAACAAAGTAAAGGACAATCCATCCCAGAAGATATTTTTAAGGGTGGAGCAGATAAACATTTTCCAATGGACTGTAAAGGGAATCATGCATCAGGCAGGTGAATGGCCCCAAGCACTCCCAAGATATCTGTAATGTCCAACATTTTATATTTTTATAATTCTCCATGGGCCAGAGCACCCCCCCGAGACTTCAGTGTTAGGACTGTCAGACGCATCATTGCTGTGATTTTCCAAAGTGTAGAGGTGTCTGGGATGACAGAAACTGAGGCATGGAGGATAAAAATAACTAGATTGCTCTCGTTTAATTCCAGAGCTAATGCATATTATATGAGAACTCAACCTTCCTTTTGGATAACAGAAAATTTGCAGTTGCACCAGAGTGAACTGTGTGATGCAACTATATATACACGCACCAAATCTTTTCCTTTCCAGATTGTCTATAAAGATGGGCTTCTCTATGTCTATGCATCAAATGAAGAGAGCCGAAGTCAGTGGTTGAAAGCATTACAAAAAGGTAATTTAAAACGTCATAAAAGGGAGCCATCGGTTGAGTTCTCTTGAGGTTTGCTGGAGGAAGATAGGGCAGTAAAAGGACCTTTTGCTAAAAGAGAATCTCCTGATTTTCCTGCCAACCTCAGAGAACGTGCCTAGCTCATCCCCATCTTACTGGCTCATTGTGGCAGAGAGGAAGTGGGCGAGCGGTTCCGTCTCCAGCCCTGCGTGGAGCTGGCTACTGTGCCTTCCCAGCAGCTTGGAGGAAGCCAGGCCACCTGCTCTCTACCTGCCATGCTTCCTTTACCAGGGCAAAGCCTAGGTCCTCCTGTCCTTTGTACGTTCCCAGAAATTTATATCTAATACTTACTAAGCACTTAGCATTTGCCAACTACTTAGTCACGTACTCGTAAACCATTTTCTTATGTAATCCTCTTGAGAACTCCACAGAAAGGGGTAATATTATTCTCCATTTTTCAGGTAAGTGAAGTTCATGAGACTTGGTAAATGTCACATACCAAATTACAGAGAACTCATAATTCACTTACCCAAACCCAACTTTCTAACCAGTAGAGCATAAACACTAGGTAAAACTGGTGGGTTAATGCAGCTTTTGTTCAGTGATTCTGAGGTTATCCTGCTAACAACCATTGGTAGGAGAGAAAGGGGAGAACTGTCATTAGTAGTTGGACACTACGATGTTTCTCCCAGCAGTTTTTGTACTTTAAGGTGGTGTGAGGATGATACTGAACTCAAGTGAATGCCTCCTTTGTTGCACTTCACATATTAAACTCCCAGATGGAGGACACTTTTATTTCATTTAAGTTTTAGGTTAGCGCTCTTTCTCAGCACACCTCAAATGACACCACTTTAGAAAACCGCCAACTCCATTTAAATGCAAACACATCCTTTTTTTTTACACATTGGGCTTACTGTTCCCTTTACATGAAAGGGTTTAGCAACCTGTGCTGTACGCTAGTCAAGTGTTCCCTTCCACCTGCCACCAGCTTGCTGAGGGGAGAAGGCAGTCTGTCTAAGAGTCAGACAACTTCGCACCCAAGTCCTGCTTTCCTGTGTCATCTAATGAAATGTAATGTCTATGGGTCCCAGTTTCCTGACCTGTAAAATGGGAGATGCCACTTCTTTTTTCCTAGGGGGTCAGGAGCCACAAAGGAGTGTTTCACAGGCAGAGGACAGTACCCCCTCTCGCTGTGGCTACAGTGGGGCCTCCAGGAGGCGTTCTAAGATGCAGTTTCCCAGTCGGTCCTCTTGGGGCATTTCCTGAGGGCAGTTGCTGTGTGGACACCTCCTGTGTGCAGCTATTGGTCATGCCATAGAGGCTTTTGCAGATCCTTCTGGAATTGTATAGGGTAGGCAGGTTTGGGTGAGCCATGGACAGCTCATGTGAGGGCATAAGGGGCACAGAAGAAGAGCAGAGAGAGCAGCAGTGAATCTTTCAGCCCCTCCTCATAAAACTCCGGAGATACCCTATCACTAGGGCGGCCATATGCACAGTAAGTGATCTCTATCAGCTAGTAATGCTTTGGGAGGCAGGGAAATAAACACCGAACAGTTGCTGGAACAAATACACATTTGTTCCTCTCGCACAGTGACAAGTCTACAGGTAAGCAGCTCGGAGAAGCCATAGGGGCTCAGGCCCTCCTAGCTTTCTGCTCTGCCCACCTTAGAGATGCTTGGAAAGGCTCTGAGTTTTTCCAGAAGCCCCCTGCAAACTTCTGCTCATGTCTCATTGGCCAGGACTGTCTCATGGCCATCTCTATGTGCAAGGGAGGCTGGAAGACCGTATCTGGCTTTTCCAGCCTCTGTGGTGGAAGATAGCAAAAGAGAAGGTGGGTGGGATCCACTGCCAGGTTGCAGGAAGCAAAAGAGAAGGAGGGTGGGATCAGCCACAAGAAAACAAAGAGGTTCCCTCACTCAAATCCTGTCCCCTATGAAGTTTCACTCTGATATAAGGACCCTCCCCACTCCTGCCCACCACTGTCTTTTTGGTTCTATAACTTGGCTCAGGCATTATAAACTGAGGTGGACACTGGAAACAGAATTTTCTAGGTGATAACCTACAGTTGGGAAGCTTGGGCTGATTCAGGGGGGACCTAAGGACTGTCAGCTACCATGGTACTGAATTCAGCTGGCCACATGTGGAGAAAGTGTGTCCCTCTTCCAAAAATTCAAACTGAAGGGGGTTTGGCAGGGAAGCTGGCATCTGTGCATCAGGATGTAGTAGAAAAGCTTGGGGTTGAGTCTCAGATATGCTCTTTGCCAGGTTTGTGAACTTGAGCACGTTACACCACCTCTCTGCACTTCAGTTTTTCTAACTCTGTAAGAGCCATGATAATAATAGCTACCCCTACGGTCATTGAGTAGATTAATGAGATGGCCTACATTATAGGAAATACGTAAAGTCCTGTACACATGTTAATATGTGAGTTCCTCTTACAGTCATTAGTAAATAGCGGGAGTGTTGCAATGTGAACTTTTGGACTTAGTTGGAAAAGAATTAGTTACCCAGGAAACTAAATTCATACAGTAGGAAATAATAGGAATCATGGCACGCAGACACCAGGAACTTAGAGAGCAAGAAGGCAAGGCATGTGCCCAAGGAACAGCAGTGGCCCTTTGGGACCAAGGTCAGGAGCCTGTGTTTAGTAATCTTAACTCCTTTTGCTTTTTGTGACTTCTGTAATCATTTCCCGTTAATTCACATTACTGTTTAGTAAGGATTTTTTAAATCCCAGCATTTTCAGCTATGCTGAGCTGAGTTAAACTAAGGGAATGATAACCAAAAGGCCCACTCTTCACTAAACACCTACTCTGAGCCAAACACTGTACCAGATGCTTTACATACACTATTTCATATCCTCCCAGTGATCCAGCAAAGTAGTCATTATTATCTCTGCACACGTCCTTCAGTCAGGGCTGAAAAGGCGGAGAATTCTCCTGGGATCAGAAAAAGGCCTCCTTAAGATGAATATAAAATCAAGAAGGGAAGAGCTGAAGTTACACATAGAACCAATCCTCTCCACCTCGACACTCTTCTTGAACTATTTTCTACTAAGACCTCGTGGGTTTCTTTGCTGTATTTCGAGAGAGGCTAGCTGGTTGTAGCTACAGAATTACTTCTCAATATTAGAATTGCATTTCTTTGAAATGAACTTCACCCTATTCTCATGGTTCTTAAAAATAAGCACATATTCCTAGAAGGGGAACCCCATAAACCATTCATTCCTTAGCATAAGCAGGTCAAAGTCATGAAAAAGAAGGGATGAGGTACTGTTCAAGATCAAGAGCAACTAGATAAATAAACGCTACATGTGATTCTGGATTGGATTCTTGATCAGAAAAAGTAGATTATAAAGGGTATTATTGGAACAACTGGATGAATGTGAAATAAATTTTGATTATGAACATATATTGTTATATGTATATGTTACATATACTTATTATATATAACATATATAATAAGTGTTGAATATGAAATATATATTAAATAATAGTATTATACCAATATCAAATATCCTGAATTTGATCATTATATTATGGTTATATAAGGGAACATCCTTGTTAACAGGAGCTACATGCTGGAGTATTTATGGGTGATGTTATTTAGGTCATGATATCTGCAACTTACTCTCAAATGGTTAAGCAAAATAAAATGATGAAAAAAGTTTGAATAATGTGTGTGTACAGAGACAGAAAGAGATAAAGCAAATGTGGCAAACAGTGAAAAATTGGTGAATCTGGGTAAGGCATATATGGACATCATTGCACTAGTCTCACAACTCTTCTGTACGTGTGACATGTTCCAAATTAAAAAGTGGGGGGCAGTATATGTTTATTATAGCCTTCTTTCCTTCTTGCTAAGGTCTAGCCTTACCCTCCACCTCCTTTCACCACAAGAGAACAGCATGTGCCACACAACCCACTTACTTCCTTACAGGTGTATCTGGAAAATTCTAAACACCAATAGCTGAACTGTATATGCATTTCCTACTAGTTGTTCTTTTTTAAAGACTGATGTAAGTTATTGTGCTGTTCACACTATGTACATGATTAGACTTTTGGGCTTATTAACTTCTGAGTGAAAGACATGTCCTCCGGGAACCATTGCTCTTACCCTGGTTGCTGGCCAAATGAGGTTTTCATTGTTCTGTGGTCACAGGGCTCACTGAATGTGTTTCTTGTCTTGGCCAACGTTTGCTCATGCTGTGTTTTCTTCCTGCCTGCTTCCCAGAGATAAGGGGCAACCCCCACCTGCTGATCAAGTACCACAGTGGGTTCTTCGCCGACGGGAAGTTCCTGTGCTGCCAGCAGAGCTGCAAGGCGGCCCCGGGATGTACTCTCTGGGAAGCATGTAATGTGACCCCTCTGCTGGGCTGCACCCTGGGTGGACAGTGCCCCATTAGGCACACCTGCCAAATTCCAGAACAGTTCGCCAGCTCAGGAAGACAAGATGTGTCAGATTGGCAGGCACCCCGAAAATCTAGCCTCAAAGATGCAATCTGGCCAATGGAGTCTAATTCTCTAGGGTCAGCTGAGTCATGGTCATTAAAATAATAAGAATATGAACATCTGCCATTCTTTCATTTCATGAAGGATATTCCAATAAATTGGAATCATGAATCAAGAAAGCAGCTCTTTATTTCCTCCCGTAAATCTTCTTGGTTTAATTGAACTCCGAATGAGTAGAATGTGGTGAGCATAATCACCATGGTTCATAAACTAAAATAATAAACTAAAAAGACCAACATTCTTTTTAAAAATATGTCAAAGAATAACATTTAGGTAATACTTTTAATCCCCAGATATGTCAAAGTGATACATTTTAAAAGACATATTTAAAGTGGTTGGCCATTCTCTACAAGTTTTTGATTCCTTGACATCAGAGAAGATAGTGAAGGATTTGCTTTAAGTGCAATCAGATTCTATCCAGTTATATTCTTAAGGAAATCTGCCTGAGCCTTTATCTGGGCCCAGAGGAGGAAGCCCATCGCGCGGCTTTGAAGGGATAATGGAGGGAAAGAATTATGTTGTGTTTTGCGGGTGCCCTACGGAGTCCCGTTCCATCACCAGGATACTTCCATGAGAAAGTCTTATATATTTTCAGTTTATCATTGTTTAACAACATGAAGTTGTCAATAAATTCAAAATGAGAACATATACTAGTAACCGTTTTACCAGCCTGGACGCCCCCCAAAAATGCTTGGATACAGCTTTAAAGAACAGAATGAGATCAGCTGCAGGACAATATTCCATGAACTATAAAACATGGAGTATTGATATCCAATTGTCATATTAATCTCAATCTGGGAATTTTACAACTAAATCAATGAATAAATATTCATTGTGTTTTCCATCTCAATTAGATGACACAATGAACATTTTTTAATCTTGATTATATCATACTGCCCCTTTACACTCATGAGTTATAATGATTTAATGAACTACAGAATTTGCTTCCCTCCACTAGCAGGGCTGAAGAGTAATGTCTCCTTAATCATTACTCCTCTCTCCCAGTGACTCTGCCTACGGTCTGGCACCATTACCCAGCAGGCCAGACCCCAGCTCTGACCTTGCCTTAACTCCTTGGGAAGGGAGAGGAAAGGGCAGTCTTATTCTGTAGCTGGTGACATGGCATAACTATTAAAAGCCTGCCTAGGTCTTTAAATGGCCTTCTCTGCGTATCTCTCTGTGGCCTCTCTTCTTCCTCTAAGGACACCCGTGTTTGGATTTATGACCTGTCCTAATCCAGGGTAGAAATATTCCAATTTGGCTAATAAACCATCTGGCCATCCTACTTAAAAGGCACAGAATGGCTCTCTACTCACAGCCTGGACGTCTGTGTACTGGTGGACATGGAACAAGAAACCAATAATTATCACAAGAACAGGAAAAAAAAAAAAGCACGGCACAGGTCTGCTCACTTCTCAGTCAGCTCTGTGAGTGTCTTGTTCAAGCCTCTCAAGGAGGAATCTGATGTGGGTTCTGACCCTTACGGTCATAGCTACTACCCAAGACAAGATCTGTTACTCAGATACAAAGTGGAAATGTCGTATAAATGAAGAGTTTATGGGATTGACAGGAACTGGAAATTTTATCCATTTTGGGAGGATATTGGTAATCACTGGTGAAGGAGCAACAAAATCCCTCCAGATGTTGTGTCTAAATCATTTACTCTGGAGTGTTGCTCACACAGGCTGGTTTATTCTTTTGACTCATAACCCGGGGTGCTTTGCTTTGCTTAGCCTTAAGTTCCCTCTGATGTTGCTTGGTTTTCTTTTTCAGATGCTGATCTACACGTTGCACCCAACGAAGAAAAACACAGAGCTTTCACCTTCCCAGACAGAGTGGTAAGTCAACACTTACATTTCTTTCAGAGCCAGGATGTCAACACTTAGATTTCTTTCTTTCAAGTAAACCAAGAGTTTCCAGACTCAAGACTAGACAATAGGGGCTTCATTCAGACTACTCAGCAAAGAGAGAAAAGATGTGAGCCAGCATCAACAGCAATGACAGTGTCAAATAATAAATTCAAATATAGAACCATTTTCCCATTTTATACTTTTATACTTAATAACGGGGCCTTTTCATAACCTGTGAGCACCTAAATAGTCACCAAAATATGGGTGCATGTGGCAGCAGTCTTTACGATGGCATCACATATAACATTCCTCTGTGACCACGGACACAGCCAAGCCTGCTTCCTATAGGTATCCTGCTGATGAAATGGGTCTCTGTAGGGCACACACAGCACAATTCTTTCCCTCTGTCCTTCGAATCACAGGGAGGTTCTTTAGTTCTCCAGTCTCTCTTAGAGGACATACATTTTCCCAATTACTAGCAGACATGAGAGCAGCCTCTAAATTGTCCTGTCCAGTGTTGTAATCACACGATTCCAAATGTCATTCTAAGTTAGAACTCCTTCCCAAAGGCAGGGTTGGCCTGCAGGGGAACAAACCAAACCTTGACGGCTCTGGTCAGTAAAACGGCACGTGGCTCGTTCATGATACAGGCTGCTCAGCTTCCTTGAGTTCATGGCCATAGTCTCCTGCTTCTAGGTTTCCCAGGCACATGTCAGCCTCCTCAGATGCCAAAGAAACAGAAAATGGCCTCCCAGTGGTTCCACGGAAGGTCACTTAAAAGGTAGAGAGGGTCTCCATCCAGGCGCCAGCTCTGTGGTGACTTGGATACTTATTTTTAGCTGCACACATCCACACACACTTCTCTCCTTCTATGTGGGTAAAAGCCATACACTTTTTGTGAACAAATATGAAGTACAAAAAGAAATCCATTACTGTACTGGGCTGAATCGTGTCCCCCAAATTTCACGCCCCCTGGGACGCTCAGAGATGAGACTACCCTGGATTAGGACAGGCCATAAATCCAAACAGTCCTTAGAAGAAGAAGAGAGGCCACAGAGAGATAAGCAGAGAAGGCCATTTAAAGACCTAGGCAGACAGGGCTGGAGCCCCAAAGCGGGAAGAGGCACACAAAGCTTCTCTCCTAGGGCTTTTAAAGACAGCATGGCCATGCAGCAACCTTCATTTGGGAATTCCGGCCTGCAGAACTTTGAGAGAACAAATCTCTGTTTTTTAAATCCACCCACCATGTACTAATCTGTTATGACAGCCAGAGGAAACTAAATGCAATTGTTAAGGTTTGGGGGTTTTATTTTGTTATCACTGGCATTGCTGTTTGGGTCTGGATGCATGCTCTAGTCCTGAAGCTTGAAAATTATGGCCTTGTGAAACACCTAAGCACAATGTCCAGAACAAGCAAATCGGTGGCGACAAAAGGTTGATTAGTGGTCGCCTGGCGCCAGTGTGGGATTGATAATGACTACAAGTGGGCACGAGGGATCTCATGGGAGTGATGGAAATGTGCTGAGACTCCATTGTGGTGACAGCTGCCCAACCTGATACATTTTCTAAAAGTCACTGACTTCTACATTAATAAAGGGTGAGTTCTATGGAATGTAAATCACATGCCAGTAAAATTTGTTTTAAGCAAATCTAAGAGCAGAGGATAATTTAGGAGCCAGAAACCATTGTATCTAGTCTCTGGCAAGGAATTCTTTGGCGAATGTGTTGAAAATTATCAGTCAGGCCAATCAGTAGCCAAGAGTTCCTAGGTCTGTTTTGATTAGAAGCAGCCTTAAGGGATCAGGGATCAGAGAGAGTATCAAGAAAAGCATAGTTTCCATTGCTTTGTTTTTACCAGAGCAGTTAGTAGAGGACTTACTTTACTGAGCTGAGGAAAATAAAAGTCCACTTTCTAGCCATTCTGTTCAGATTTCCACCATTGGGGGAATTTTCCACTGTGTTTATCTTTGGAGAAAACCACCTCACAGCTCATAAAGAGCAGCGTCCTGTGTAACTAACATTTCCAGGACATAAATGCCCGAAAAAACAAAAGTAAAACACAGTGTGAAAAATTAAATTCAGAGCTTATGTATTTTATGTGAATTTTTAATTGGAGTATAACATCACTTAGAAAAGTACACAGGTCCTAAGTGTTCAGCCTGATGAATTTTTACACATCTGTATAATCCCTACTCAGATTCAGAAACAACATCACAGAGCCCTGGGGTACCCTCCTGGTCCCTTTCGGTCACTACATCCCACCCAGAGTAATCACTAGCCTGATTTGTAACATCACAGATTATTTGCCTGGTTTCGAACTTTATATAAACAGAAACATAAAATGTGTAATCATTTATTCTGTTTTCTTTTGAGACTCCCCCATATTTTAGTACGTGATTGTAGTTTATTCTCATTGCTGTATGGAATTCCATTGTATTAGTTTCTTGTTGCAGCTGTAACAAATTACTGCAAATTTAATTACTTAAAGCACCACAAATTTATTCTTTTATTGTTCTGAAGTCTCAAATGGGTCCACACAGCTGTGTTCCTTCTGCAGGCTTTAGGGGAAAATCTATTTCCTTGGTTCCTGGCCCTTCCCTCCATCTTTAGAGCCAAAAGAATACAATCTTCTTTCCTCTCCGATCTCTGTTTCCATCCTCACATCTTCTTCCTAATCTCTGACCTTCTTGTATGCTTCCAATAAGGGCCCCTTTGATTGCATTGGTCCTACTCCAATAATCCAGAATAATCTCCCCACCATAAGCTCCCACCATGTATGGTAACATATTCACAGGTTGCAGGGACTGGAACATGAATGTCTTTGGGGGATATTATTAAGCCTGCTACAAACCACAATATGTTTATTATTTTATCTTTTTAGCGAGCATTTAGGTAGTATCCAGCTTTTATCTAATTGAAATAATTCTGCTGTGAACACTTCTACCTATCTTTTGATTTCACTGTTGGGAATGTATATAGACTTTCTGGATCATAGGGTATGTGAACATCCAGCTTTAGCAGTGTCTGCAAATAGCTTTTCAATGCGGTTATGCCACTTCACACTCCAACCAGCAAAGTAGGAGAGTTCCAGTTGCTCCATATCTTTGCCAGTACTTAGTATTGCTTCTTTTCTTTCTCTTTTTTTTTCTTCCTTCTTTTTTTTTCTTTCTTTCTTCCTTCCCTCCCTCCTTCCTTCTTTCTAACTTAGGAGCTGATCTACCTTGGTTGTTAGTTCTCAGTACATGAATCTGTGCCTCACTGTGGTATTTTAAAACCTTTTGTCCTCCAAAGCTGAAGATTCCTCGAGCAGTTCCTATTTTCAAAATGGATGAACCATCTTCAAGTACCACTCTAGCCCAGTATGACAGTGACTCCAAGAAAAACTATGGCTTCCAGCCAAATGTCAATATGCAGTATATCCCAAGAGAAGACTGCCCTGACTGGTGGCAAGTAAGAAAACTGAAAAGGTAAACTTTGGCTTTTAGTCTGGCTGCCCAGCATGTAGTATAGACACTGCCCCACTACCTTGACCTTTGGCCTTGGCCGAGATAGGGCCAGCCTCCCCCAAAATGTTCGTGCTTGAGCCGGAAGCACTGGGGAACAGAGAAAACTTCCCATTCAGGTGATCCAATCTAATGATCAAAGTCATACTTGAGCATTTCCTCCCCTTCTCTTTCTCTCCCCTTTTCCCACAAATAACCCCACCTTCTCAGGATGCACACCATCACCTCCTGACAGGATTAGTCTGCCCACATTTTTGAGCCAAAAGATGCTACCTAAAGCTAGAACTGGAACTGCCTTACAGGCAGTACTTAAGCTGTGTATGTCTCTGGGGTACCAAGTTGACCCCACACTTGATGCTCAATAAAGATGGAATTGAATTGCAAGATGATGACAGAGACAGGGTCAAGTGATGGCCCTTCCTTATTGGCAACCTCAGATTTCCTCCATCACGATGCTCGCAATCTGACATCTTGCCTTATTATTAGCATCCCTATAGGGGTCCAGTGTCTGTCTTTCCCTGCAGAGGGTGCGGCCTGTATCTCTTTCCTTCACTCTCTTTTATATGTATTTTTGCCATCTTTATCATTTCTACTTAGAGGGCATGTCTCACTGTACCAATGATAAAGCCCCAGGGCCATATAGAACCAGAAAGAATGTTAAGTGTATTCTAGTTGTTGTTTTCAGTAGAACAAGTCATGGTGCCTATAATCCAAGTGTATTAATCTCTCCCTGGAGCCTCAGGCGGCTGTTACATTTATTTTATTTACCTGCAGCCCTGTGTTCTTATGGAAGGAGACCAACAATAATCACAGATCTAAACAGAGTGGATGTCATGCCAACTTTGTGTCTGGTCCACTCGCTGCCAGAAGCCCCAGGGATTCCCTGAGGTGTGCATTGACATTGACAGAACAGTTTTCAAATAAGTCCTCAGCACTTTTGATTCACATGGGGCTTCTACAGAGCTACCAAACTATGGATTGCCATATCATATCTTTGTTTAAAATGTTATTTTGCTCCTTGTGGATGTTTTGCATTAATTTCATTATAAAAAATATTTCAATAAGACAATATTTAGCTTGATTACTGAGTTTTTGACACCCCCTTTGATTTTGCACCCATGATTTAGTCCCGAACCCTGGATTTTGCCTAGAATTTCAGAAAGCTAGTTATCTGAAATTGATTAATCACTCCTCAGCATTACATCTCTGAGTGGATTATGATGATTGCTAAAAGGTTGTCATGGAGCTTGCATTTTAAAAATGCAGCCATGATTGCTAAGTCATGTAAGAAGATAATACTTTTTCTCAACTTTCTGTCACTTGTGCTGTCTTTGCCTGAGCTGCTTTTTAATCTTTATATTTTCTGAGTAGCAAAATAATCCATGCTTCCATTAAGGCATTCAAATGTTGCAGACTATATATATTTGAATTACATATATTGCCATAAGTATACAATTCAAAAATCAGGTTCTCACCACGAGCCTTCTTTGCCATTTGTTCTCTTCACTTAACATCTTGGACACTTGGCCATTTGAATATGTAAGGATACACTTTTTAATTCTTTAAAACTTTTAACTGTGGTAAAACATAACATACAATTCATCATCTTAGTCACTTTTAAGTGTTAAGTACATACACATTGTTGTGCCACCTACCTGATTATTCTGCATGTCTACACAGAATTCCATTACATGATAAAACCTAAGAGATGCACTATTGATGGACGTTCCCCACGCGTTTTCAAAAACAACAAAAAGGCTCAACAAACTGCTTTGCCTTTTTAAATAAGAGTTTTCTTATGAAGAGATGAAATTAAAAAGCTCACGAGTGCAAGTCTCTTTGGGAAGGCAAAGCGGGAAGGCATTTTAGGGTGGAGGGCTTTCTCCAGGCATTCCTTCAAGTGGAGCCAGAGGAGCATTTCCTTGTTAAGGCAGCTTGTCTCTGTGAAGTGTGGTTTTGAAAAAAAGCCCTGGATGGGCCGGCAAACAGGAAATAGATCTACATTCTAAATCAAACGGCCTTCGGACTTAGAGAGGGTAACACTTCCTCATGCTCTACTTAATATCCAAAATAAAAGAGAGGAAGTGATGGGGACAGAGGGTGAGGAAAATCCTGCAGGTCCAGCTGTCTCCACATGGAGCTCAAAGTTCAGCCTTCTCAAGACTTTTAGTTGCAATCACAAAGAGCAAAGAGGAAAATGACCTATTTTATAATATGTAAGTGACAGTATGCTCACATATCTACAAGAAAATCAGGGCAAACCCAGTCAAGATACTTCATCAATCCAAGTCTTCTATTGTTTGGGGTTATTATGAGCCATTATGAACAATTCTCTTCTGAGAATACCATCAAACTACCACTTTTTATCAGAGTGCCTGACAGGACGAAAATGTGAAAATAAGCCAGCAGCTGACATTTCTGAACTAAGTGAAATGTATGGGCCACAATGTGAAATACAGCTAAAACATACCCAGCAAAATTACTTTTGTCAGTTAACCCTCACAAATAAACAGAAATTTACTGGACGTGTTTTTTTCTGTAGCAGTGAAGATCCTGCAGGCAGTAACCAAAAAGATGTCATGGTAAATCAAATTCAGATACTCCTTTATGCCCAGGATCTGCTTCCATCTGCAGGAAAGCTGAACAAATTTGCAGTAATTCTGCAGCTAGACTTCACGTTTAAGATAAAATAAACCCAAAAAGTCCATGTAGTTTGCCCATAAGCTGGGCTGGATAAGAGACTTGGGGACCACAGGCTTCCGTCACACTGGTTCTGGCTCTCCATCATCCATGACAGACCCTGGTGTCAGCGTGAACACTAACATACATAGCTCCGGCATCTCTAGCAGGAGGAAGAACGACTTAGAACCAAATAGCTCTTCTCTAAGAATAGCTCTATGCACAAGCAGGGATTTATTTTCACCTTTATAGCACAGCTCTCCCTGAAGGCGCCTTTATCCATTTCATGAGCCTACTCTTCTGAAACAGGCAAAGAAGGAAATCCACGCACCCGGGGACCTCCTGTAGCAAAGAGTCATTTTCTTAGTACACTAGGGATGAGCTCAATTTGTGAGCAAGTCTCCTCACTTTTCTGACACCTTCCCACGTGCAAAAAGGCAAACCCCACAGCCTATGGTTCATTCATGTAGATGAGAGCAGGGTGGGATTTGATATTCTACCACCAGGCACTTGGGTTATTTCTTGGTGGATTTTTATTCATGTCGTTTCCTCCTTCTTATGGGGATTTCCTACGTTGAGCTCCTCTGAAGAGGAAGAAAACCTGGCTGACTATGAGTGAGTATCCCAAACCCTGTGTGTCCTCTAAAACTAGGCATGGATGTTTCTATTCTCTCCTTCCCCAAAGGCATCCAAACAGACGGCTCAGACTTGCTCAGGAGGCCTACCCCTCTGCTGCTCTGACATTGAAATGCAGAAATAGTTTTTTAAAACAAACAGAGCCAGGCCGCAGCAAAATTATGACGCAAAGTGTGTCTGTGTGTCAGGGTGGGGGAGGCTTATACACAGTCTCACCTCGCCTCTGCAGGCCTGTCTTTATTTCTGACCACCACTTTCTTCTACCTCCCACAGGCATATATCCTGAATTATTTTCCCTGAAGAATCTTTTGATCACCTATGATTAACTTAAAATATTAATAAGAAAACTATCAGTTAATATCTCAAATGTTAATTATGTCATATCAATAAGGGTACAGTTATTAAAGAGACTTTGAAACTTACCCAGCTCAACCCTCATCCTAATTTTACAAATGGGGAATCCCGAGGTCAAAAGAGGCCAAGTGGTTAGTCCAAAGCCAAGCAACGACTTATTAGGAAGCTATGTCTGGAACCCAGACCTCCAACTGATCTAAACCTCTTTGCACTTCATTAACCTGTGTACAGATGACACCTCCCCGCCTCACCTAATACACTTCTCTCCTCCTCAGGTATTACCTTCTAGCCAGAGGGTGCCCCGAGCTCCCACATCCATGCCCATCCCACCTCACACCCTGTTCATTTCCTTAGTGTGGCGTTTGGGCCTAAGCCAAAAGGCTGTGGACGCTGACCTCCCATGAGAAACAGCTCTGGGGCCTCTTGAGCTCCACATACAAAGTAGGATGTGATGTTCTTGGCTAGCTCAGTATAAAGGGCAATGTTTAAAGACAACACCTGGCTGCCCCACATCATCTTTTTCTCAGTTTGCTATAATTATTCCGGTTTTAATATAACCATAGACACTTACCTATTGCTTTCCTGCAAATACATATTTTTTGAAAGCATTTTCTTTGAAAATAGATGCCATAAAGTGTGCTTCTATCAAATTATTAAAATAAAATTACAGGGTTGAAAGGTGTTAGGTAAAATCGGGCCAAAATATTTGCTGGTCTGGTTAGTCACAGGCCGAAGAAGTCGCGCCCAGCAGGGCAGGCAGCGAGTTTTTAAAGAAGGTAGGGGGAGGGGGAGCACAGATTTACAGCGGCAAGAGGATTGGCTCGCCTAAGGCACCATTTCCAGGTTGGGAGCGGGCAGCAGCTGAGGATTTTGGCATGTCATCAGCGTCCAACATGCTCACCCCTCCCTCCGGTGCCTCCAGCCTTACAAAAGGCAGGAACTTTCATCCTTGGCAACTCAACGTTGCCATTGGAATACCCTTCATTGGTCTAATCTCTGGCTCTTATTCAAAATGGTGAAATGCGGGAGAACTTAGAGATCACTCAGAAGGAGGCCAAATACTCCTCAATGTCAGCCCATCTAATGATGCAGAATGGCAGGCCCAGCCCTGAATCATTATTGGGTGGCAGAAACTCAAGAATCTATGTTTCTGAAAAGCTCTTCAGGGATTCCCTTGAACTGCCAGATTGGGGAACCCCTGATCTAGGCAACACCTCATTTTACAGATTAGAAGGCTGAGTGGCAAGTTATGCAATTAAAAATGATTAACTCTCAAATGTGGAATTCTTTCCCGTTACAGCTGGTTTGCAGGTAACATCTCCAGGTCGCAATCTGAGCAGTTACTGAGACAAAAGGTAAATAATCTAGTCTTTAACATAGCCTCTAAGAATCTCTTTCTATTGTTGGGCCCAGAGGGTAACACACTTCTCAGAGAAACCTGACTGCTGATTCTGAAGTCATCATAGTGGCAGCTATCCAGCCTGTGGCTTACGGGGCCCTTCGCACAGAGCCACAGCCTCTGTTTCCCTTACTACTGCTGTGCAATAAACCACTTCAAAATGCAGTGGTTTGTATGACCTCTCACCTCTCGCCACTCTGGGGACTCTGGGGATCAGCTGGGCCAACAGTCCTTCTGCGCATTTGCTTAGGGTCCCGCACGTGGCTGCACTGAGCTGGCGGGTTGGGTTTAGCGGAGGCAGTTGCAGGAAGAACACGGAGCTCTCCACGTGGCTAAGTCGGGCTTTCTCCTGGCGTGGAAGCTTTAAGGCAGTGGTTGAAGAGGACAAGCCCTGCAGTTCAGTGCAAGCAATTCCCGAGTCTCTACTTTTGTTAAATCTCCCATTGTCCAAGCAAGTCACACAGCCTAGCCCAGGGACACAAATACAGAGCGATGGTCTATTGGGGGCCATCCATGTGACAGTCTACCTCAGCACTGTCACTGCTCATTAGCACCTAAGCCAGAGTACAGCAGCCGTAATGCGGAATGAATCTACCTGACTTTGTTTCTAACTGGTATGCGATTACCAAGAGCAAAGGGTTTCGACCTACAAAAGTGACACTTTGATATAGTTCAACCTAATAAAATACACCAGTGTTTCTTTGAGCAGTACTAGTGAGAATATGATGATCTCCCTACCTATCTCAGTATTTTGTCACATTCAGAGTTTATTAGCAGCTCTTTTTAAATCTGAATCTGCTTAGAAGTAGCACAAGTCATTAAAAAGACAACTGAGTATAGAACTTGAATGATTTGTTCTGCATCTTTGATTTTCTAAAACCTTCCGAGGGTATGGTATAGCGGTACGTGCTTTTACATTTTATTTTTGAAAATTAAAATATTAGTTTTAGGCAAATACAAAACAGGGAAAATGATCAGAGAGAGTCAAAAATTAACTGGCGAAGAAGAGTGTAAGCACACAGGGTGGATTTACAAAGAAATTGAGTGTGAAAGGGGGCAACCTAAGCAGTGGGTTCCCCTCTGTGCCAGCTGTGCGATAATCTGTACCATCCATGGCGTTTAAGTGGATCTAAAAGATTTATTTTCCTACCACCTACCAGGAAAACTAGTTTTCATGAATAATGAAAATGTTTTCTGTTCCTTCCACACTTTCCTTCCTTTTCAGGGAAAAGAAGGAGCATATATGGTTAGAAACTCCAGCCAGGCGGGAATGTACACTGTGTCCTTATTTAGTAAGGTTATGAAGTAAGTATGACATAGATTTATTCTTTGTCTTTTGTGTATGTTGTTTGAATATGCTGGCTATTCAGTCACATTTTGGGAGAAGACACCTTTAATCTCTGGAATTTGAGGTCAAAGTATTCCTCTTGAATGCGACCATTTATAGTTGCCTTTTTTTTTTTCCAACTTGCAAGGGGCTGGTCTCTGGGTGTTCCTCTCCTGCCCATCCCAGGTGGCAGCAGAGTGTCCAGGGCACAGCATGCCTTAGTCAACATTTCTTAAAGGAATTCTGGGTTATCCCCTTCAATTTGGTCCTAAGCCTAGAAAGAGAAAAATAGCAATGGAGCCTCTATAATCTTGGCCCTAGCCACCTGCTGAACTGAGACACCTACCCCAGCATCTGCTTTTTAGTAAGTCTTCCCCTACAGTGGCAGAATTAGCAGTTTGAATCAGCATAGCTTTGTTGCCAGAGAGCTTCTTTCTACGATGCTGTCCTCTTTGTGTGGTTAAGAGTTCGGCTTTGAAGCTGCCCTTCTGGGTACAAATCCTGACCCTACCATCTCAAACTTCCTATGTTTTGGAATAAGAATCTGGTCAAATCTTGATTAGGAAAATTTGAAAAACAGTATTGTTATGTGTACAACCCTCTTTTAATGGTTGGTTTGAATGACCCTCTGCTGTGGTGCTTTCTCCATGTGCCCTGCCCTGTGGTGCATATATGTGTTTTTGTAATAATTGATTTAAAAGTTATTTTGAGATTTTTTTTACAGGGTATCTACCCCCAGTTTGAGAGGACAGGATGTACCCTAAGAAGCCACCCAGCATTTTCCAATGGCCAGAAGCCATGTCTCCTGTGCATCTCATGTACTAGGTTGCACACCTGGATGTTGGCTAAAGCCAACCCAGTAAGACAAGGCAGAAGACTTGGTTCACTGAATACCAGAAGCTCTGTGGCCCTCTGGCCCTGCAGCTTCAGCCAAATCTGGTATCAGAAGTCCCCCTAGTCATGCTTCTTGACACCAGATTCATTTTTGAAGGTGACCAGGTAGAAAAATTAGCAAACAGATAAGCAATCAAATGATAATATTCCAAATCAGTGGATACAGAAGTCTCCTATGAAACACCATCAATGGACTTGAGTGGATTTCATGTTGAGATTGAGAGCAGATCAAAAATTTACAACAAGAAAGCACCGTTTCTGCTTTTTATAATTGCAGTTTTAACTAGGCTGGCATTACTGCAACACCAATTTGTTAATACTTCTATATGTGCCAAGCATAGTGCAAACTGATATATAAATAATCTCATGCAATTTTTATGACAACTAGAACAGCAAAGCCAGGATTCAAAGCCAATCTTTATAACAGCCAGATGAGGTAGCTAGCACGCAGCAGAACTGGACTCAAAGCCCAGCTCTTGACCACCGTGCCATCCTCCAAAACGTAAGAGAGGCCTATTATTCCTGATATGTGTAAATCAATGTACATCAATTCACCACTATTTTCCAAAAGTAGAGCTGAAGGAGAGAGAATCATTTTATGTGGAAAAGTTAGAAGTTGACAAGAGAAGGTACAGGACATTCCCCACCCACTTCATCTTACATGCTGCACTCCCAAGAGCCTTGCTCTGCGGGAGAACGCCCACAATCCAATCACCTTCGCCTCCCTCATTATCAACTTCATGATTATCCTAAAGGAGAATTGATGCTCAGAATAACGGTCTGAAAACACGGCAGGCTCTCAGCCACCAAAGGAAGATTCCAGCTGTATACTTACATTTTATTGGCCACGAATTCTGTGTGTGCACCGAGGTTACACTGAGTTCAGAGAGGAACACTTTCCCATATCGCGAATTGCCATAGAAACACCAGATGTCAAGACCGAGAAACGCTGACTTCCTTCTCCAAAATGTGCAAACGCACCTAACATAATCACTTAACCGTTGTTTAATCAAGCTTCAATTGTGTATTAAAAACGTTCAACATTCTTTCTTCCTTACTAGTGATAAAAAAGGAACTGTCAAACATTACCATGTGCATACGAATCCTGAGAACAAATTGTACCTGGCAGAAAACTACTGCTTTGATTCCATTCCAATGCTTATTCACTATCATCAACACAATTCAGCAGGTAATTTACTTCAGCATTTCTTTTATGGGTTCTCATTGATAAATATAAATTTTCTTGGCTACTACTGATCCTCTTAATATTCTTAATTATATAGGGAACCATGAAAGTAGGGGAAAAAAGGTCTCTCAAGCCCTATGCCTGCTGTGATTTTTAAACTGCATTTCCTAGAATATAACATTATACACTCCATAATGCCAGGAAAAATGAACTTGAATGAGTTGAGTGGCTTAGAAGTAGAGGTTCTTGTTATAAAAATCTTTTCAGGTTTTTCTGCCTATAGAAAGAAGTAAGTTGATTGCGAAACTCAAACATTATAGAAAATGTAACTTCCATGGACAAGTTAGTGTCTATTCTGACTGAATTTTTTTCTATGCTGATACTAACACTTATTATTCATGATGTATTTAGAAATTATATATATGTATATACATTATATTCTTATAGATGAGATTCTATACATACTACTTTTCATCCCTTTATTCAATGTCTTAGCGATCTTTCCATGCAAATTCATAGTGCTAACTTTGTTCTATTTAACAGCTACATAGAATTCTATCGGAGAATTACTTCACAATTTATTTGCCTAACCCTCTGTTGATTAGCGGTTGGATCACATACAATATTTTCACATTACAATCTATGTTTCTGCACACAGTCCTGCTCCCACAGCTCTGAGCACCTCTCTGAGTATTTCTGTAGCCAAATTCCCTAGAAGTGGAATTTCTGAGATAATGCTTAAAAACATTAAAAATTTAGACATTGGCAAATGCTTTTCAGAAAGGTACTCTCCCACCAACAGCAATTTCTTCATCCTCACCAACACTGGGTACTATTACTCTTTTTAATTTTTGCCTAATTGGTGAAAATGTATATCAAACTCCCTTCTAAATGGAGGTGTTAACTAACCTTATTGTGATAATCATTTTGCAATATATACATGTATCAAATCATCTTATACACTTTACAGTTATGTATGTTATATGTCAATAATATCTCAATAAACCTAGGGAAAAAAAGAGAACTGAAAAAAAGAAAGAAATCCCATCTGAATGTCTTTTCTAAACTAGTGCCCTTTAGGGGCAGTGTGACTGGATGAATTTATAGCAGTAATTCGCTGTGTAAAAATAAAATAAAAATCAAAATAAAATAATTCGTAGAGTAAAAATAAGCTGTGGGCTCAGCATCAAATTTGTGCAACTCTGTCTGACCTGATTACATGCACATAGGTGAACTGGCTTCACTCCTGGCTTTGATTTTGGTTCTTGTATTTTTCCTTTGCCCCAATTTTCTCAATTGTTTATTTTAACGTGTAGCACCTGAGAAGTACACTTTGAACAAGGTATTATATAGACACCTCCAAGTGGAATGACTCCATGCCAGAGAATGCAGGAAGAAAATATTAAAATGTTTATTTAGATTTGTCTTTTAAATTGCAGTCTCTTAAGTTTCCTATCTGTGAGTGTATTTTATGATTCACATAATGTATCGATACAGCAGCAATTGCATATATATACATTTTGGAGGAGTGTGCTTTTTTTGCCAATGAAAGTTGCAGGATTTAGAACATTTGGAGACCCCTCATATAAAAAGTTAATAAACATAGAAAAAGGAAGGAGAGAAAAAGGACACGTGACAGTTCACGAGACTTGGAAAATGTCACACACTTAAGGCAAGAAACATAAATATTTTTTAATGTGTTCTTTCAAGTCACTATACATACTCTATCTTAAACCAGCTTTACCATAATTTGATGTAAACAATTTAAAATGAGTTGGCCACTTGATGCAGTTTAGGAGTAGCTTCTGTTTTTTAAATGAAAGAGTCCATCAAGCAAGTAACTTCAATGGGATTTTTAACAATCATATAAGGTGGTTTTACTCTTTAATTTTTGCTTTACATTGAGCTAATTATTCAAGTCAAGCAAATTAATACAACTACAAGGTGACTATGCACCACAGCCTCCTGAACTCTGTGCTTTTTTAGCTAGTCCAAAGAGAGCGTGAGCAAAGGTGTGAGCTGAGGCGGTGTGATGTCATGTCATGTGATGTGCTGCTGATTCCATTGCAGGCATGATCACACGGCTCCGCCACCCTGTGTCGACCAAGGCCAACAAGGTTCCGGACTCCGTGTCCCTGGGAAGTGGTATGGACACACCCTTGGGCTCTTATACTCCATTCCACTTTTGGTTAAAAAATATACATGTATATGTGTGTGTTGTGTGTGTATAATTAATTTACTGAAAAAAAGAGTTAATACAGGAATGGGGTCCGTGTATAGATTGTGCCAGGGAGGGCTTCAGCTCTAACATATCGGTTCATTTTCTTGAAAAAAAAACTAAAGTAAAACCTTTCTGTCCTCCTAACCCAAATGAGTAACTCTCTCAGCATTGCCAAAAAGACTGTCAAATTTTTCCTCTTATTAGATCTAATCATCAGCCTCTGGAACCCCATTGCCTGTCCTTTCTTCCTCTGGGATTCTGTGTCCGCTCAGGGGAGCCAGTTTTCAACCTTCTGTATTTAGAATAATGACGTCCACTGAGATGGTAGTTCAATTTGCTTTATAAGAAAGTGTACCGATATTTTACCAAGCTAAGGGTATCAGGCCCATTTTGACACCAAGTCTTTCCAAGATGCCTCTGGTTAGCAGAGTGTTTTTCCTCTACTCTTTTCAATAACTGCAGCTGCTTCAAAAACAAGATTGTCCTGGTGGCATTATCCTGTGGCCTAATAGCTCAAAGACCCCATTACTAAGGGTTTTTTTTTTAAGAGATCAGATTAAAACAAAAAGACTTGCTGTTCTTCATACTGTCAGTGTGAAACTCTCACTGGGGAGAAAATCCCTTGGGAAGCCTTCTCTTCTCGTCCTGAAGAGTGTCTGTCTTGCCTGATTAGGAATCTGGGAACTGAAAAGAGAAGAGATCAGCTTGTTGAAAGAGCTGGGGAGTGGCCAGTTCGGAGTGGTCCACCTGGGCAAGTGGAAGGGGCAGTACGATGTTGCTGTGAAGATGATCAGGGAGGGCTCCATGTCCGAAGACGAATTCTTCCAGGAGGCCCAGACCATGATGTAAGTTGCTTGGGAGGAGTGGCAGGTTAGCCCTCACCCCGGAGGACATTCATGCTAAGCGGCCTGTTCCTAACATCTGCAAGGCCTAGAGCAAGAGCCCACACATCAGATAAAAATATTTAGAAGTTATTAATCAAGCCAACACACTAATAAATCAAATCAGTTCTTTTTCACTCCTACTGACAAATATACCTTCATACCAACCTGAAAAGCCATATTCAAATTTAGAATTTTCAAGACATTTTAGAGAAACCAGCCCTTGGCCCTTGGCCCCACCCCCCAACTCTGCTTTCTCCTGCCCTTCCTACCCCCCTCACCCCAGCTCTGCCCTGCACTGCACTGTGCTCAGTGCTATGGGCAGACAGAGCATTTGGGGCATCCAAACTTCCTCTGTGTCTCCCACAAACAGTGATCTGCTGGGTACTGACCTTGGTTAGGGGTAGGCACACCACCAGTATGGTTCACTCCTGGTGAGGACAGACCCAGAAGAGTCTGCATGGGTCCTGGAAGTGGCCTCAGGATTATGTGGACAGGAGATCACAGAGTTCTGGTACCCCAAAGGTGATCCAGAAAGGGATGTATGGGTTCTCAGTGGGCATGTCTCCTTGGCCCTCTGGCCTCCTTGCCCTGTAGGAGGTACATGGTGGGGTGAGGGCGGAGTGGGCCCTATAAAGCACGTGCCCCTGAGGCTGGAGCCCCTAGAGGCCAGGACTGTGGCAATACTGAATATGAATGCCCTCCAATGTCCTTTTCCTTCCTGGTATCTTTATACAGTTTGGTGAAAAACTCTTTCTCACACTACCTCTTACCTGATCTGATAAATGAAGCTGCCTTTCCCAGCGGCCTCCGCTCCAAGCACAGTCCTCAATTCTTGGCAGTGTGCTTGTGTTCTCTCTCTCTCATCCTTATAAATACGAAGAATTATTTTAAAGATTTAACCTCTTTTTGTTACAATGGTGAATCAGACTTTGAAGGGTGACAAAACATCCAGGTTTGCCTGGAACTGTCCTGGCTTTAGCACTAGAAGTCCGGTGCCCCAGGAATCCCCTCAGTCCCAGGCAAACAGGAATAGGTGGTCACCCAACTTTTATGGAACAAGTTGACATGATATGAAAAACAATGCTATAATAGGACTTTGGTCAAAGATAGTTGAAGTCACAAATCCTAGCCTGCTATGGAGAAATGACAATTTAAAAAGTTTGACTTAAACACTTGTATGGTATTTACAGGCACCTCCCTGTATTTCTAAATATTAACACGTTCATTCCTCCTAAGAGGCCTATGAGGGTTGTACCATTGTTATCTTTACCTTATAGGAAAGCAAAGCACAGAAAGGTTAAATAAGTTGCCCAAGGTCACCAAGCTAGTAAACGTGGCAAAGAGGCGATCCAAACCCAGGTAGACACGCCAGTGTCCCTTTCCTTAGCCATGCCTTTGTGGGGACCAAAGGTACTGAATCACCTTCACCCCAACTGCAGAACTGTTTGGAAGCAGAGGTCCTCTGTGATATAAGCCCTCGGCTGGGGCTGGCTTTCATGGGCATGCAACCTGCAGTCTAGAGGTCCCTGCCCTTAGAAAGGCCGCCCACTTGGTTTAATGCTGGGATGTCACCATCTTGAAAGTCTTCATAATTCTTAAACAAAGCTGCCTGCATTATTCATTCTGCACAGGTCCTTGAACATACTGCCTCTCGTTGATTGTACCGTCATAAAACTGCAGAGGGAGCCCTTAATGTCCTCCTCTCATAGGACAGAAAAACCCAGCAGAAATTCCCCTAGGCTCATAGTGTAACGCAGTGGCCTGGTCTCATTTTGGTAATCACACAGAATCATAAAAAGTCACTAACAAGTCACCTAGTCATAAAGAAAGAGATCAAACAGTACCATAAGCAGAAAGTGTTCAGTACTTTCTTCCAAAGGTAGATTATTACCTCCAAAGGTAATAATCAAACTAAGGCTTATCGTGCGGAAAGCATCAGTTGACAGGGTGTTCCCACCATGTGCTTCCTGATCAGCAGCTGAAATTGCTCAGGGAACAGTGCTTACTGGGTGATGGACCTTTGGCCCACAGCAAGCCTTCCCTCCGCAGGGAGCAATGCTGAGTACCACGCAGGTCTCTGGGACTGCTAAGAGATGCATAATTAAGCTCTTCGCCTTGAGTGACCTAAGGCATGTCCCTTTGGTGTAACTAAGAAGGAAGAAAGTAACTAAGTATTTAATAAATCCTCATTTATTTAAAAAGTTAAAAGTTGACATGTTAAATGTAGATTTACTTTCTACATTTGAACAATAGAGAATCATTCTATAAATTGATCAGAATGGATTGATTGCATAAGCACAAACTGATGAACACATCGTAATGGCTGAGTATCCATCTGTCATGACCGACCACAAGTGCTACAACATGTGGTTACTCTTTTCTAAATTTATTATTCAAATATTGTAACAATAATGTGAAATAAATTTTTTTTAAAAGAAAAATCAGGCCTAATCTCACTTCCCTAACAAGGCAGCTACTTTCATTTTACCTATGCCTTCCATATTCTGGTACTATTGTTTTTTTAGAATGAAATATTTAGACAGGAAAGTCAGAGGTTTGAAATGACTGTTCTTTGGGGGTAGCTTCCTCCAAATCGGTCATGGAAGTCCTCAAGATCACACAAGACCAAACAGGATTTCCAAGGCAACAGACCATTGCACCCCCGATTCTCAGTGGGAAAGGTGAACACAGTACACCACGAGTGCTGAATTGCAGCTGGCAGGGTCAGTGTCCAATACGTGGCCACATTTTTTACCTTCAAAGGCTTGTGCTCCCCAAACAAGAGCCTGATCTTTTCCCTCTCTTTTTATGTTCAAGTAGAAGAGGGGGAATTAAACATCTGAAAGTGATTCGTCCAGGACATCTGGAAAATGGAGTGTGGAAATTCAGTACTGAACTTTGAAAATCTGTTATTTCCAGGAAACTCAGCCATCCCAAGCTGGTGAAATTCTATGGAGTGTGTTCAGAGAGATACCCTATATGCATAGTGACTGAATATATAACCAATGGCTGCTTGCTTAACTACTTGAAGAGTCATGGAAAAGGACTTGAACCCTCCCAGCTCTTAGAAATGTGCTATGACGTTTGTGAAGGCATGGCCTTCTTGGAGAGGCACCAGTTCATACACAGGGACTTGGTAAGCAAAGCTTCTGGAAGCTCACAGAAAGGCAAGAAAGGAATGCACAGTTCCTGCCTCCCATGATAGGGCCTTTGGTCAGGGGAGGCGGGGCAGTCCTCATAAAAGAAAATGGAACAGAAAGACTTTGGTTAACTTAGTGTTTCCTGGAACCATTAAATCCATCTAAGTTGACCTTTACTCCAGGAAAGCTTTGTGCTAAAGCAGTTGTTTGGTACAATAACTGAAGAAAAAAAACCCAGAAGGAAATGAAATGTGTGTGGGTCTTTGGGTCAGGGTGGGAGTGTGGCATGTTCTGCCCCGTGTGCCCTGGTATTTATGTTCAGAGATTTCCTTGTGCTGAGCAGCAAGCATGCCATGCACACTCATCCAGTGCATTTGGTGGCTCCCAGCACAGCGTTGATGCCTTCAAAGCTCCTGTTAATGTGCCCTTTCCTGGCGGTGGAGAGGGAACTCCTAGAACTGATTTTTCCCTTCTTGTTGAGGCACTAACGTTCTCTGTAACATGAAACACCTTTCATGTTGTTTGCCAAGGATGGCTGCTTGGCTGCAAATACTTACGGGAGCACCTTTTCATTTGGAAATATTTTAAATCACAAAGGAGAAAAAGACAACTTCTAGACATTTGGGACTTTGATAAGGAATCTTTGATTTTGCTGAGAATTCTGCCAAAGACAAGGATCATGTCAGATTTGAATGTCAGAACATTCTTGGTCACTTTTACTAATTTGTAATTTTGATTTTCCTCCAAAGGCTGCTCGAAACTGCTTGGTAGACAGTGATCTCTCCGTGAAAGTATCTGACTTTGGAATGACGAGGTAAGCCAGTTCCAAACGGATGACCGATGAAAGAGATTTCTGTACCACCTCTGACTACCTATGAAACCCGTTTTACCTCATTTCAGCTATAAGATGGGATTATTCCTCAGCAGTTATCCAAAGTCCCTGATTAGTTTTCAACACCCTGATATTTTCTAAACTTATGAATAAATTCCATATCGCATCCTAAATATTTAAATATAACATGCTACAGCCAGATTATTTGGATAAATCTGTTATATATATATATGTTAACTCGATCCAGGCTCCTTTAGTCCTTTCTAGTTTCCTTCTTAATATATGTTCAACTAGGCAGAGCATTCACACTAGGAAAGATTTTGTTGTTAAATCATTAAATTTTCTGTATCACCAGGTAAGGTGTGAAAGAAGCCTCTGAGATTCTCTTGATGGCCATTCACCACTACTACATGATTTACAGAAAGTATTTTGTCAATATTGCAGTTTAAAAGAGTCTTCCATTTTCTTAATTCAGAATCCTCAGACTATTTAAGCCTCACAATTTTCCTGCTTTTACATGGGAAATGAAGACGTGTATGTTGGCCTTTCCATTTAACAAACATTGATTGAGAGCCTGCTAAATGCCTAGGTTTCGTGGGTGATACTGATGTAAATGTGATCATTCCTGCCCTCCAAATGCTCACAATTTCGTCCAGAGGGCAAGTGGATGTCCCTGAAATTGAGATAAAATACAGCTATAACGTTGTGCTGATACAGCATAAACACATAATTCTGAGGAGGAATAACAGTTTCAAAGACATCTAAAGAGTTGACCACGGCCAGCTCTATTTAGCAAACACGGCCCTAAAATACCATAGGAGGGTCTGTTTTTTTTTTTTTTTTAAGTCTTCTCCAAAACTCAGTAGTAGGAAGTGTTCCTCTTCTGGGCCCCTCAGCACGGTCTAGGTGTCCCTGGAGCTGTGTGCTACCTGCCATCACTCCACCCGCCATGCACCGAGTCTCCTACGCTCACCCTCCAAGTGTGCAGCTCTCTCGAGCACACGACAGCAAGCTGCTCACAGCTGCTGAGGGCAGGGAGAAGCTCCCAGGACAAGGGCACTGATTCCCACTGCATTCCCGGAGCAGGAATCCCGGCAGTTGTGCCAGCATCCAGGGGCTATATGGTCAGGTTCTTTGCAACTTAGGAAAAGGGGGACACAACGTCCTCCTCTGATTACAGGATCCTGGAGGCCATGGACCAGGTCCTGTGGGTCAGGAAGCTCGTGGCCTCATCATTTGATGCCTGCGGCTTCACTTGGTCCTGATGATCTAAAGGAAGGTTTCAGCCATGAGCAGAACCCAGTCAGGGGTACCAGTGTAGTTTCGGGCTGTCTGGTGGCACCTGAGGAGCTGAGCCCAGGGAGGAAAGTATGGAAGGTACTGTATGTAATCCAGAATGACTTACTATTACTCTCATTAATATTTCAAAGAATGATTCGCCAAACCAGCTTTTTCTGATATTTTAAATATAGTAAATATCTCTAATACATTTTGGTAGTAAAGTTTTCAAATTATATCCAAAATTTGTCTCCATAATGTTCATCTTCCTGTTTTCTTAAGAGTCATTATTTATTTGTTCTTTTGTGGGGATAAATATGTGGGGTTCCCCTCTATTATGTAAACATGTAATTATAAGAAACACAGCAATAGTGTATACAGTAAAAAGTAGAATCTGCTCCCCACCCCTTCATGTCATTTTCAGCACTAGAAGTACCACTGCTCACACACACGGTGGCTGGCCTGTCGTACCTTATTCCTAGGTAAACCCAGTCAGCTTCACAAACGTGTACATTTACTGTTTGTTCCCACAAAAATGGAATCATATTATACACACCTGCTTGTCCACATAACCATGTACCACAGGCATCTTTTAGTTTTGGTAAATACAGTCTTAGCTCATTTTTAATGGCTGTATACTACTCTACTAATGTTCCACATTTTATTTAATCCCTCCTCAACATGTGGACATGGAGGTTGCTTCCATTGTTATTATTATAAACAAAAATATAGTCCATAGCCTTGAATATGCATTTAGTCTTGATATCCCCATGGGATATTGCTCTTCATCATGGTTTATAACCACAAAAGATTAGAAGCTACTTCCTTCCATGGTTGAACAAATTCTGTTGATCCGTGAGAGGGAAGACTATTCATTCCATACCCATGATGCTGCAGGAGAACATGGAAACAAATGGGCAAAATGTCCTTGGTATGCCATTAATGGAAAAATCCAAGCAAGCTGCCGTATGACAGACACCCAATTTTGTTCAAATTATACATAAGAAAAAAAGATCGGAAAGTACAAGCAAAAATGTATCTTGAATGATAGAATTACAGGTTATCTTTGGGTGAGATTCTGAGTGATTTTATTTTTACATTTCTGTGTTTTTCTGTATTTACCAAATATTTGGCATTCAGATTTTGGTATTGTCAAAGTTAGATATGATTTTTAAAGCTCACAAGCCATAAGCAACCTCCAGCCAAGGTCACACATTGAAAGGGCACAACAGATCTAGAGAACCGGGGCACCCAGTGGAGACTGGATGGCTTGATGGCCTTCATCAGCCTGTGCCCCCACGGAGCTGTGGCGGCCAGCAGGGGTCTTCCCATTTTGCACAGCCAAGTGGCTTAAGGTCTGTGTTGATTTTCCCCTGCAGGTATGTTCTTGATGACCAGTACGTCAGTTCAGTAGGAACAAAGTTTCCCGTCAAGTGGTCAGCCCCAGAGGTGTTTCACTACTTCAAATACAGCAGCAAGTCAGACGTATGGGCATTCGGTAAGAATGTGGCCACACAGGCCCCGGCCCCATTTCATAAGCTGGCTTCCACAACAGGAAACCACAAGAGCAGCAACATTTTTAGCAAAAGCCCTGAGCACTTACAAAATTTACCCAGATGGCCTGCGATAAGCAAGAGATTGAAGATCCTAATGACCTTGTCTTGGGTCCGTGTTAGGATGTCCGCCACATATTGTATAATTTGCATCTTCCTAGCACCTACTCATCAACTCATAGGAGATAGAAGCTCTTCCACAGAAGATTTCAAAGTTTTTAAAAAGGAGTCATGAAAAGCTAAATCCAAGTTTGCACAAAGTCTAAAACATTGAAGGGCTTACAATGAAGTCATCGACTTTCTGCAGGAAAGCAGCTGTGATAAGCATTCCCTTCTGAATTGACCGATTCTTTGGGCTTGCCTGGTATAAACACCAAGCTTTTGGGGCCCACACCAATTTCAGCTAGTGCCCTTGATAAAATTCCTCATTTAGAGTGGCAGTCAGCAAACTACAGACCGGGACCAAATCCAGTGGCCTGTTTCTGTAAATAGAGTTGGACTGGAGTACAGCCATGCCTATGCATCTGTGCATTGTCTCCGGCTGATTTTATGCTGCAACAGCAGAGGACACTAGCCAACACAGATACTGCATGACCCACAAACCCTAAAATACTTACTCTGTGGCCCTTCCCAGAAAAGGTTTGCTCACCCCAATTTTATTAAAACACCTACATATTTAGTACAAATAACTATCAATCCAGTAAAGGTAATGAGAAAAGCAAAACAATTCTTAAATTGACATTTTTATAGATTTTCTGATATTTTTCTACACTGGGGGCAACGTCCAGCCTGTTTACAATCACTGTTGCATGGATCCGGGAAAAAGAACCCAAATTATCATGAAGCTATGGAATCTATTAGATGCAGCTGAGACCTATTTCATGTCTGTCTTAAGTATAATTAAGCATAATTTGACTTTCTAGATGACATCCAAAAGACTGCCTGACAAAAGGAAAATTCAGTTTGCCATTTACTTTCCTATGTGACACAGTTTTTAAAAATAATTATCCCTTTTGTAAAACTGATCTTGTTCACTTAATAAAACTATCCAATGTACACAGAAAAAGGAAACACTGTGAAGATGGCATTTTGGTGAACACCTGATATCGCTTTGGGCTGATTAACTTGCCAAAATTAGTTTCAGTCTTCTGGTATCAAATGACAGGCCTTATGAAAGATGTTTTTTACAGTCAGTAGCCTCACTCAATAGTTACAGCTGCGTTTTGACCAAGCATTTGCATTTACCCAGCTTGCTTACCCCCCTTCTGCCCAGAACTTGGCTCCAGACACTTTGTTTCCAAAAACTAAATCCATTCTGAGTATTCAAAATGAACCAGGGCCTCTGAAAGCAAATCTCAAAGAGGGAATCCCACAGACAGTTTATGCAGTCATATTCTTGAGATACGCAAATAACCTTCCAAAGAGAGAATTGTGGAGGGAGCAACATGTATTCAGGTGGTTGTTTTAGCATGTTTGCTTAAAACAAAAATACTGCCACAACTTGTAATGTTGCCTTATTGTAAATATTTTACATAAACTCTAGCCCTAAAAGCCAAAGAAGTTTTGAAGTTAGTACTTCAGTTATGGTTCTAGAACAATTTTCTTCCTTTTTACATATGCCCGGTTCTTCAAGGTTTTTTTTTTTGTTTTTTTATTTTATTTTATTTTATTTTATTTTTTTTCAAGGTTTTGAAGCTGGCTGACTTGAAATTTTCTGGCTTGGCCAGTGTGACAGCACAATGGCCACCATTTAAAGAGCATTTCAAATGTCCTTGTGCTCTTAAGCACTCTGCATGTTTTATCCTATTTAATCCTCAAGGCAACTCTATGACGTGCAAACATCCATATATTACAGACAGGGAACCTGAGCTGAGGAGAGTTAAGACAATTGCCCAGCCTGTAAACAGCAGAACTGGGCCTCAAAAGCCGCATCTGACTGATCCCAAATGCCACCCTCTTGACCACCATGACCAGAACTCAGTTTCTTAACCTGGACTCTGCAGTGCCCTGGATGGGCTTCAGGGGACTGGGAACAACCAGGAACCACACGCAGAAGTGCCATGCATTCACTTTCCCAAGGGAGAGCCCGTGCTTTTCTTTCAGATTCTCAAAAGGACACCTGACCCTCAAAATATTATGAACTATTGTGGCAATATGAAAAGGAGGAATGCTGCCAATGATTTTTTTTTCTTTTTTTTGAGAGGGCATCTCTCATATTTATTGATCAAATGGTTGTTAACAATAAAATTCTGTATAGGGGAGTCAATGCTCAATTCACAATCATTAATCCACCCCAAGCCTAATTTTCATCAGTCTCCAATCTTCTGAAACATAACGAACAAGTTCTTACATGGTGAACAAATTCTTACATAGTGAATAAGTTCTTACATGGTGAACAGTACAAGGGCAGTCATCACAGAAACTTTCAATTTTGATCACGCATTATGAACTATAAACAATCAGGTCAAATATGAATATTCGTTTGATTTTTATACTTGATTTATATGTGGATCCCACATTTCTCCCTTTATTATTATTTTTATTTTTAATAAAATGCTGAAGTGGTA